TTTGATATTATATAAATTATCAATAGAATAATTAAGTAAAACTTTTATTTTTAATACAATTCGTATATAATAGTTTAACATCAGAAGCGATATAAGTTACTCCGAATTATACCAATTATAAATATAAACTAATTATATATTACAAATCAAGGATCACGAAAATAAAGAATCAATCTACAATAATATAAACAGAAAAATTCAAAAAAATTTATAAAGAAATAGTAATAAAATTGAAATTCATTATTAAAAGAAATATATATTATTACAATCGGAAATATAATTAGAAATCAATATTAAAAAAAAGGAATAAAGTCTATTTACTTTGGAAAAACATCAAAACAAAAAGATCTAATACAAAATTAGATTACAAGAAACTCGGATTATTCAAAATCAAAAAAGTTAAAGGATCCTTGAATTATGAATTGGTGTTATCAAAAAGTATGAATATATATCCAATATTCTATATATCTCTATTCGAATTAGCATCTTTAAAAACATTTAAAGTTTCTGAAATAGAAATTATATCTATAGATCAAAATATCGAATACAAAATGGAAAAGATATTAAATTATAAATATATTAAAAACAAGATCAAGTATTTAATGAAATAAAAAGATTATTCCGATTCCGAAAATATATAGGAATTTGAGAAAGAAATTAAATATTTGAAAAAATACTAAAAGTTTCATCGATAGAATCCGGATTTATTCAAAAGGAAAGGGAATTTATCGCTTCCTATAAAGAAGAATCAAAAGAATTGAATTCGTTTATAGGAATTTCGTTAAGGTTGATAAGATCAATTGGTAATTGACCAAATTGATCAATTGGTAATTGACCAAATTGATCAGGGGTTAATTGACCAAATTGACCAAATTGACCAAATTGACCAAATTGATCAAATTAACCAAATTGATCAGAAGAGTCGGAATTAACAACAGACACCGAAAACACAACAATTTCCTCTTTTTCTTTTCTCTTCTTCTTTTCCAAAGCATTCAATTTATCAAGATATTTGAGACCTCGTTTAATCATCTTTCTATAACAACTCTACAAATAATCTTGTTGTTTTCGAAAATAGAGAATTTTAATTATAATCTTTTTTTCTTTTTTACAAAGTTTTTCCTTTTGTTTATCTAAAGATTCCCAATCATTCATTTGAGAAATTTCCTTATCCCAATCATTTTCCAAACATTGCTTTGCATTGCAAAGAATACAAGATCGTATATATTCGGAACAACAAGTCTTTTACGAATTATTCAGAATTTTTATATAACAAAGGCTTTTTGTACAATAATAGATACACAAAATCATCTCGATATCAGAATTCTCGATTTCAATTATAAAATAAGACTTCTCCTTGTTCTTTCGACGAATTTTGTTGAGTTGTGAATCATTCATAATAAGGAAAAGGATCAAGATATGAAACAACGAAAAACTAATAGGCCACATACTAGTTATAAGCGATCAGGGATGACACTTGGCTAAGAAGGGGATAGTATCACGAAATCATTTTATAGAATGTCACGAGGTAACAATCAATCTATTTCTATAAACTTTAACCTTATTGAAAAGCAAAACAACTTGTATACAAATTTGTATAGTAATCGTTTCATATAATCTCCTTACCTTCAGCAAACTCGGATATATAATCTGATTCTAATCATATAATAAAGCCTTTAGGAATATAAGCTCCTATAAGCTCCTTAAAGCCCTTAGGAATATAGACTTTTAAAAACTCCCAAAATGAATTAGTATATAACCAGAATAGTTTTATAATTTAGAAGTTTTATATTCAATTTAATTATCAATTAATTTACCTACATTCCAATTAATTTAGTAATATATTCATCTTCAAATAAATAACCAATGATTATTAACCTTAACCTACAACTATTAACCAGACGAAACCCTGAGGCAGCTGCTGCCCCAACCAGATCGTTACACCTCCAGGAGTATGGGCTCCTATAGGCTTCTTGGAGCTCTTAGGAGTGTAGGCTTCTGGAGGCTCCCAAAATAGATTAGTATATAATCAGAATAATTTTATAGTTTAGGAACTTTATACTTAACTTAATTATCAATTAGTTTATCTACATTCCAATTGATCTAGTAATGTATTCATTTTCGAATGGATAACCAATGATTATTAACCTTAACCTACAATTACCAACCATACGAAAACCTGAGGCAGCCGCTGCCTCGACCAGATCGTTACACTCTATTCATTCAATTCATCTTATTCAATTGAAAATAATAATAATAATAATAATAATAATAAATAATAATATAAATAATCTAAAATATTGTTATTATTATAAATAACATTAAAAATAATACAAATAATATAAAACATTATTATTATTTGAAATATTATAAATAATATAAAATATTATTATTATTATAAATAATAATATTAAATCATATTATAATTATTATTTTTAAATAAAATAATTTAATTTTCAATTATTAAAAACAAGCCGATATTCTGTCTATACTCTGATATATATTCAATATTTAAATTTATTATAAACTTTTTAAAACTTAAATTTTCATTAGACTTTCTCGAAAAGCCAGGGGTCCGGGGAGCGCATGTCTGTGATGTACAAGAGCCTCATAAGAGCTAAATAAACAGGGTCAATTATATTCCTTAGAATCTACAACTGAAGAACTATGGCTCGTAAGGAGCATCCATATATATATACAAAATACCTATACGGTAGCCGCATGGTTGTGCGCAATCTACCTTAAGGTGACCATAATGCCATATTAAAAAGGGTAAATTTGGAAAAGTGTGCACAGACTATCAGCTCACCGATAGGAATTGTCGATCAATTGAAATCACGTGATCGTCATTTACACGAGGTCCGTGACAATGCCCCTGGTATATCTAGTAGTTACTAAATGCGAGTATCCCGTCAGGTAGGCTTTATATCGACTTCCCCTGCTTCTAGACATAAATCCAGGCCTCCTGATGGTAAGGAAGGAAGATAAAATTAGTAAGTGAAATTCTGCATTGTCGAATCATATCATATCACATCAAATCATCAAACAGAGAAGAGATCCCAGAAGTCGATGAGCATACTATTAATCAACTTTGACTGTAGCTGTAGCCTAATTAAAGAGAAAATCTAGATCACGACAATTTTATTTGTTCCTGTATTGGCTAGCTGGAAGTGATTGACACCGATAGGTTAATATAGTATAGGTACCTAGGTAGGTAGGTACTAGGAAGTTCTAGATGCAATTGAGACCACAGCATGACGACGCGGTGATATCTGGTCTAACCTTATCTTGTAACCATACATCTGAGTACTACTTACTACCTATATATATGAAATAAATATGAAATAAATATGAAATAACATCACAAGACAGTGAACACCATCTGAAAGCTAACTACCTATATCAGAAATAGACAAACGACGCGATATTATTGAAAATAGCTAGCTAGATAGCCAGCCTTGTGATAAAACGAAGTAGACGATGATTCATCTAGTACTCCCTACTCAACCCAACTCAACCCAAGTTTCAGCCAGCATAGCTTATGGCGTTTGTTTCCTGCATTAACTGGGACTTATGGATGTATAAAGTACGATGGTGGCGTAGGGACTAGCTAGGTAACCTTATGTAGCGAAAATCTTGGAATAGGCAGCATCCATATATTCATATCGGGGAATCGATTTTTGATCCGAGGAGTGAATATGATGTGGATGGATGGATGTGTTGTGTGGGTAGGTACCTAGAGAGGGAAAGTGGATAGTATGTCCCAATGTGGTGAGTCCATGCGATGGTTACACGGAGGGAAAGCCAGAGATTTGGTGGTGGTTAAGGTTACCTATCATCGGATCATTTTTTTGGTTCGGTAATGGCTATATTTTTATGTACCTACTGTACTCTGTACTCGGTATGCGAGGTGCTTAAAAATATTACATGGAGAGGTATTGGTGTTAGGTAATATTTACCGAGTCCCGAAACTATCTACCAGACTATCAGGATACAGTAGAAGGAAAAGAAGGTGAAGATACTAGCTGGAGTAATTGTGCATGACCATATCATATGTTTCGAGTTCGTTTGCTTATTTATTCATTTGTTTTCTCCCGTCCTTGCATTCATTTGCCTCCCTTAGGCTCCAGCATTTGGCCAAATGATGTTTGATGAAGGAGATTACCATTGTTAGGTTTGAGATTTGGAATACTGCTTTTTGGTGGTGGAAGGAAGGAAGGAAGGTGGAAGTTGGATGTAGCTAGGTACCTAGATGAAGGAAAATAGAAAGAGTAAAGGTATTACCTAGGTACGGGGATATGAACTGGAATGCGACAAGATATAAAACTAGGTAGAGGAAGATATATTTTACATATGAATGGGTTCGATGAAGATCAAGAATAGCTATGGGAATGATAGAGGAACATCTCAAATATAAGTCCTGTAAAAGGATCGGCGAATGAAAATCCGGGGAAAGCTTATCGCCATCATGGACAAATCATACTTCCGACACATATAATACAATCCAAGCCACCACCAAGTAGCAGCAGCTCATCAGCTCACGTGAGACCTCAAGTAATTCTGCTCATGCTGGTGTGCCACAAGAAATGCCAAGAGAGCCTCGACCTCACTCCAAGAAGAATCGGAAAATATATCTGCCGTCATCTCATTCATTCATTTCCAGCTGACATTGACTCAATTATTCAAAATCCCTTTCTTGATTGGCTCTCTCATTCATGCACATGAGTCGTATAACTCACATCCGTCTCAAACACACGGCTGGGATTCTTCTCTTTTCATTCCCACCAACGCCAGCCAATGTTCGCCAAAATGTTATCTTTTAGCCGCATTTTTGATCATGTTCCTTACATAATCATCTCCAGCCAACCATGTTCAATTTTCATTCCAGGCAACAATATTCGGGAAGGCGAGGATCTGTAGGCATCCGAATTCTATCAATTCTTCAAGATTCATAGGTTACATTTCTGAAGAAAAGAGAGAAAGAGACCCTTGATACTGAACCCTTGATACCGAACCCTTGATCGATTTTACTCAAATCAATCATTCATTGCATTTGGGAGGGAGAGGGGGATTGATTATTTCTTTTATGGTGTCACCTCAAGGTTATTATTTGACTTGTCCGTCGGATCGATTGATCATCAGTTTGTTGTCCGTTTTTGGATGATGAATTTTTGATTCATACATCCATCCAAGCTTACGATATACTACATCTTTTATTTCTGAATACTATTATTATTATTGCCTCTCTTCGTATTCTCCTTCTTACTTCCCATTCCAACTTGATTTGTTGGTACGCCACTGCTATTGCCGGCATTGCTGTCATTTTTGTCGCCTATGATTTGAAGCACAATCACAACCACTACCACGAACCTACTAACCTTACCTCGACAAATACATCTACAACTACATCAACCACTACTACCACATCAACTACAACAACAACAACAACAACAACACCACCACCAACAACAACAGCCACAACCACAACCACTCCCCCTCCCACTTCTATCCCCACTTCACTAATCATGGATCCATACTACGCTACACCTTCAATACCTCTTCAAAGGCGATTAACCAAAATTTATACTGATACCAAGAATATTTACGATTTCATCAAAGAACCAGTTAGAAATGTCGAAGATCATGAACTTCAATTATTACATCGCAAGTTACGTATCCAACAAAGTCGTTTGGTATCATGGGGGTTGGAATGGTCGGATCCTTCGCAATCACCTGATATCGATGAATCAGTATCAAAGGCAGGATTATCCGAAATCGTCGGAAATGTCATGTCAACAATCAAGGAGATTTTGGCTGAAGCAGAACCATTATGGCAATCTTCCAAAAGGTTGACATCGGATGAGAGACCATCAGAAAAATCGGAAAAGGGTGCTTTAATTCAATGGGATAAAACGAGGTTTGAGGATTTGATTCGAGATTTAACCATGTCTATTGATACTCTTTATGATTTATCAAAGACAAGACAATCAGCAAGGAGTGGTCTAGGTCTACAGACTTCGGAAGCTTCAAGTTCAAAAGATCAATCTTCGAGTTTTGAGGAAAGACAATTTGAATCGACAAGAATGTCTGCACCCCAACAAATAGATCCAGCGACTCTAATTTGGACGGGCAATCAAATCATTGCTACACGTGGTACATCGAGGTCAACATCGAATAATACATTGAGACAGATAGTACTGATGAGAAGGTCTGTCAATTCTTCGGATTTGAGAAAAGCCATCGGTCAACCTCCTGATCCAATACCTGTTCTTGTCGAATATGCCCCTTACGATCCTATATATTCCGTTACTGGAATCACTCCATCCATGACTCGATTCGAAAAACTCTTTGCTAGTCTTTCACAGGCATATTACTCTTCTGACAGACTACTTGTTGGATTACTTCGTCTCATTGGGTATTATGAGGATGCCGAGCATTCGAGATTTTGCCTATTGTTTGCCTTGCCAACAAATTTTGGACCCATGGACATTCAAAGCCCAACCCTACAGATGCCCACGATAAATTCATTGTCGGAGCTTTTAATAAGTCCTGCGTTCGAACCAAGTTTGGAGGTCAAGTACAGATTAGCCTACAACATAGCTAATGCCGTGTTTGATTTACACTCCAAAGGAATTGTTCATGGCAACTTACTTCCTTCCAATATTCTTTTCATCGAACATCCTACTTCACCACGGGCTTTTGATTTAACACAGATTAATATGCGACAATCATACCTCGGTTCTTATGATTTGTTTTCTGATACTGCCACGGATTTGGGACCAAGTTTGGATCAAGCTACTATGTTGTATAAACATCCACTCGACCCGAGGAGTACCAGATATACTAATCTATCCCAAGAAAGCAAGTCTTTGGATTTGTACAGTCTTGCCATGATTCTTCTTGAGATTGGTCTCTGGAGTTCTTTATCGGAACTTTTCCCAAGGGCATCTCAAGTACCTTCAAACCCTACAGAGGTTCTCAAGCATCTTGCATCTCGATGTGGAAATATTTATGTCAAAGCGGTGGAAGCATGTTTAAGTGCACCTGAAGGGGAACTTTCACGAAAAGCAAGACCAGATGTTATGCATCAAAAAGTCTTTTGGCGTGTATCAAAAGCACTCAATACTTGTTGTTCACTCGATGATGTTTCGGATGATGATAGTGAAAGAAGTGATGAGCCATCACTGGTACCCACACCTTTGAATATTGAAGCCCCATCTTCATCTACCAAAGGATATCGTGATCGAAGGGATGCAAAGATCGATTTTAGTGCTCCACAAGAACCAGAAATCAATTGGGGTGAGAAACCAATACGTGTAAAGACCCCGCAAAAGGCTACTGCTGAATGGGCAGAGAAAAAGTCTTCTGGTGAGTTGATAACCCTTCACAACTGCCACAATCTAACCATTTTTGTCTTAGCGGTCGAACCTATAAAATCAAAACCTAAGCTCAAGACATTCCCAGCTATTCGCATTAGTCAAGAACATATCAATTTTTGGCATACCAATATTATGCCACATGTCAACCACGTCCTTCGAAGTTTTTACAAGAAATATCCCGAGTCGGTTGAAATTTCTCTCGAATCAGTTGGTGAATCATCTACCAAAACGAAACCTACCATTCTCGTCATTTGTACAAGCGTCAGTAAAGTTAGAAGTATATTGAAGAAGAGTCTCGTTTATGATAAAGCTACATATGGATTAAAAGTATGTCGTGGAAAGGTTGTAAGAGCAAGAAATGGTGGGGTCAAAAGAAGTATGGCACATGGTGATGAACTTGTAGCGAAGAATACTCAACATCAAGAACGTCCGAAGAATGGCGCCAGTATGGGAGCATATATAAATGATCATCACCTTCCACCAGTATCATTTGGAGGACTCGTCACGATTGATGAAAGACCTTATGGAATGTCTGTTCATCATATGTTAGACGACCCTTCCGATGATGATGAAGATGAGCCAGTTCAACCAACAAAACCAATTCTTCGATCATCAGCACTTCCTCAATACCTTGAAATGCCAGATCTAACGCATTCAGAGACATCTTACTACTCTAGTGGCGATGAAGAATATAATTATAGCTTCACAGATTATTCATCTTCAGGTTCATCATTTGATTCCGATTCCTCACCTTATGCATCAGAAGATGAAGATGATTCTGATGCCGAATTTCCAACGTTAGAACCAGGAGATATTCCTCCTATTCCGATTTCTTCGTCGAATGTTCACAATTATCCAATCACACAACCAGCTATCGATGACATCGATCCAGATTTCTATCCTGATCCAGAAACTAGAGATGAAGATCATTTAGATTCATGTTTACTTGGAAATGTCTATGCAAGCTCAGGAATTAGACGATTGACTCATGACGATATCACTCATGAGATTGATTGGTGTCTTTTTGAGTTTGAAGAACATCGTCTACCTGATTTTACTTCTTCAATATCTTTGACAACACAACCAACAGGAGTGGTTCCATTAACAGAACTTCCAGATTTACCAGTTAAATGTACAGCTAGAACTAGTGGTACACAAACTGGACGAATCCTTCCATCTATGTCCATTCTCAAAATTTTTGGTCGGAAAACTCCATCTATGAGTTGGCAAGTCGCTGGTAAAATAGGTGTTCCAGGTGATAGTGGTGCATGGGTTCTCGAACGAGGTGATGATATTAGTGTGGGCCCTGGAAATAATAGTGGCAGAGTTGCAGGTAGTGTACTTGCATGGAGTCAACGAAAAAGTGTCGGATATATATGTCCACTGTGGATTAGTGTCCTTGATATGGCAAATTCGTTGAAGTGTGAAAAGATTGGATTACCAAATGTTGAAAAACCTATATGGGCTAAGGTGTCGACGAGAAGAGAGAAAGAAGTTCCATGTCTTTCCAAGAAAACTTCACGACCGATGAGTGAGAGGAATATCGATGAATGGGATAGTGAAGATGAAGCGCATAGTTTGAGGGCAAACAGACCTCTAAGTGGAAATTACCCCATGGTTATTGATGATGATTTAGCAGATGATGAGGATGAATTATCGGGTGTTGTGGGAAATATAAAACATGTGGCATCCGATCATGAATATGAGCCTATGGATAGTGAAGAAGGATATGAAGATGATGAATCTTATGATGAGGAAGAAGAGAGGGAATATTGGAGACGATTTAAAGCTGCGAGTGTTAGTCCTGAACGTGTCAAGGGGAAAGATATAGAAGACAATGATCATGAACAGAGACATGAGCTTGCGAATGAGTATTCCCAGGAATATCAACATGATGGACAAGATTATCAAAATGCTCATGAAAAAGAAGTTCTTATTTCATCAGAGGAAGAACCAGAATTACTGGCTACTCTTGGTCAACCTTCAAGAAGGGGAAGAGGTTTCGGAGTGAGAACTTTTAGTGGTGATAAGAGTTTGGAAATGGATTTGGTGGTGGGAGGTATCAGGGATTTGGGTATTGATGGGAATACCATGGACGGGAATACCATGGGTGAGGATACAATGGCTGGACCAATGAGAAGCACAGTATTCAGTATGGATGGAAGTGCAATGGGAGATTTCACAGTAGGAGGAGGTGTCAGTGCAGAGGATTTTAATGCCTTGGCCGCGGCGGCTAATGCGAAGGTAAATGCGAGTGCGGGTCGTCATGATCTTGATCATGATCTTGATAAGAGTAGGAATAGGTTGGGTAGTAGCTCTCATGGGAGTGCGCATCCGCATGAGGGATCGGAAAGCTTGGGGAATAGTAGTTTGACTGGGTTTGTGCAGGGTCATGGACATGGTCGGGTCCAGGGGCAGAGGCAGCGAGTGGGGGTTAGGAGTTAGATTTGGGTTTGGGTTGGATAAGATTGGATTGGATGGGATGAGATGAGATGAGATGAGATGAGATGGGATTGGAATATTGATATAAGATTTTAGATTTTATTATAGGATTGAAGAAGGATATAATGATATAATGATATAATGATATAATGATATAATATATATATATTAAATTCTTTTAATGATACTAGATAAGAATAAGAATAAAGAAATATATCTAATAGTAATCTTATATTTATTTAAAATATTAATAGAAAAAAAATCCACTCAAAAAAAAACCAAATATCGACATCTTGAGTTTAAATACGAGTATTTGTTGAAAAGAATATAATAGAATACCTAATCAAGATCGCTTGTGTGTTATAAATTTGCTTGATACTTTAACATTGACTTTATTTCTTAAGTTACAATCGTGCATTTGAGACGTGTAGATTCTGATATTATCAACAAAATACCTAGACTAGTGTGCTCTACTTTAAGTTTCTAGATGATCGCATCTGTAACTTTGGTCTTGGTCTCGTGTTGATTCTAATCCTTCTGCAACTAATCATCAAGACTATGGCTTAACTTTTATGTCCTTAGCAAATAATATTTGCGATAGCTTAGCTTACCAGCTTACCAACTCTCAGACCATCATCTACATTCTCTCCACAGGACTCAATCCCAAAATTTTCATACCATTATAAAGTACCACCCTAGCAGCATCATAAAGTGCCATTCTAGCTTTCATGACCTCCTTCTCACTACCCATAATTCTAAGATGATCATAACTACTGCTGAGTACGTGAGTCATCTTGAATAGATATGTCAAAATAGTTGTTGGTTCTAAGGTTTTGACTGTGTTTTGAACGACATCTGGGTATTGCGCAAGAGTTCTGATGAGATTTTGAGCGTGGATTTCAGTGAGAAGTGATAGATCAGCTGAAGCAATTTCTTCTGGGGTAAGTGCTGCTTTGCGGGTGATGGAGCAAAGACGAGCGTGGGCGTATTGGAGATATGGACCGGTATCACCTTCGAAAGATGTCATGGTATCCATGTTGAAGGTATAACCGTTAACACTAATGTCAAAATTAGTTTGTGATTCTTAATTATGAAAAGGGAATAGGTTAAAAAATAACAGATTTACTTACCGTTTACCACTCATATCTTGTACCATGACAGAACTAATACCGAGGATATCGGAAGTAGCTAATGGATCGGCGATTTGTTCATATTTAGCTTCATTCTTTTGCATAACTTCATGCATCTTCTCAGCAACATCTCTTAAGATGTCATCCAAAAATTTGACAGTACCGCGACGAGTACTCATGCCATGTACCAAACCAAAGTTGATGTGTTGACACTTATCCCGGAGTTCTTTGTAACCCAAAAGCTCAATAATCTTGAACAATTGTTGTAAATGCAACTCTTGATCAGTTGCGACAACATAAATCATCTGATCAAAGTCATACTTTTCTTTTCGTTGCAACAGTTCACTGATATCTCGAGTAAGATAGAGTGCTGTGCCATCCCTTCTTTTCACAATTGCTTTTCCAAGACCTTTGCCAATCTTTCCTGGAACGTGCTTGGTGAAATCGATAATCATAGCGCCTTGCGATTCTTCCGCAATCTTCATTTCCTCCATTTTCTTTCCTGTCTCCTCCATTACTTCTGCTTTAACTTGAGATTCTCCCGAATAATAATCAAAATGAATATTTAATCGTGCATATGTCTCCCTATATCTCTTAATACTGAGATCACGGAATCGAGCCCATTGCGCAATTGCTTTTTCATCGTTCTCAGTCATTGCTTTGAAATATCGACGAGCTTGTTCATCTAGCCCCTCATTCTTGATATGCAGTGCTTCGTCTGTTTTCCCTTCTGCCTCCAATGCTGTTATCTTATCGGCCTCGGCTTTGACATCTTGGTTGATTTTGACGTAGATTTGAAAAAGATGGTTGATAGGATCTGCCTTTAAAGCTTCTTCATCTCCATATCTATCAAAACCCAAAGCCAATAATCCATACTGTTTGCCCCAATCTCCAAGGTAGTTGACTCGAGTAACATTCCATCCTACTGCTGCGTAAAGATTCGACAAGAAACCTCCAATGATAGTACTTCGAAGATGACCTGCATGGAAAGGCTTCGCGATATTCGGGGACGAGAATTCAATGACTATTTTCTTTTGTCCTTTTGATGGATCTTCTGGATCCACGAGACCAAGGTATTTGTTTTCTCCAAAGCTCGAGCCTTGTCGGATAATGGTAGGAATGAGAAGTTCATTAAGTCTGTCGGCTTTGAAGAAGAATTGCAGGTAGACGCCATTGGTGGTAGGTTTGTGAACGAGAGGAGATTCAGGATACTATTCCAGTCGATGTTTTAGTAAATCTCATGATGTAAATAGGTTGCGACGGATATACCTTTGCCGCCCATTCCTCAGCCAACTCGTTGGGCTTTTTTCCCTTGACTCGCAAAGCTGGCACAGGTAAGACTATGTCACCTTTGTCTAAAGTATTCGTCCATGCCAATGCACGGTAGATGATGGTGGATTCAACACCAGTAATCTCAGTCAAGGTAGAAGTAATGTGAGCTCTGTAGATATCGACGATGTTGATATCAGGGTGACAATTAGGAAATTTTGGTAGATCCGAGACACTCAAAGACTTGAGCTTCTCGGAAATGAAGTTTGAGGACGAATCTGTCGCCGCCATCTTGTAAATTGTGGTTGTAAATGTGCGAAAAGAATTGAAGTGGTGGGGTTTAAATCGAGGGGTAGTTGGGAGTGAAGTGGGTATCAATTTTAGACAATGGCTTGGATGTTTTCGAAAGATAGAAAAGGTGAAGATCATATGGTTGGGACAAGGTCAAAGGAGGAAGAAAAAAGAGAGAGTATTCATGGGTAAGGAAAAGAAGAAGATATACTTTTTCTCTTTGGGATGATGGTGAAGTTGGAAGGTAAATGATTTTATATGTTAGAGTAGGTAGGCTAAACTCAATATAAAAATTTATGAGTCTTGTTTGGTCTTGTTTCTTATTATTGGTGAGTCAATGAATGTGGTTTTACTTGTTTACCGCCTTTGCAGGGAAACTTGATTATTTATGCCTTTTATTTAAGGATAACACTATATTCTGCATTGATCCTCTCTGCCTTATATTCCAGGAGTACATTTACCCCACCCCATCTCCGGCACCTCCAAAAAGTTCCGCCCGATGTCAAACACGTGGTTGGTTACACAGATATTTGCACCGCCTTCTACAATAGCATTTTCGTGGCAGAATAGATTCTAAATTTCATTCTAGAAAATGTTTAAAGCCATCCATGAACTTCACCTCTCTTGAGCCACTTTTCATGGTAATGGTAACGGTGACACCCACTGCATATCAAGGAGAATTTCAATTTTTGAACAAAGGGAGAAAGACTAGACTTAATCAAGATCTAATTGTCCTTCCAGTTCCCTGCAGTTCATCTTGAAAGGCTTGGCGTTTACCTTCTCTCTCACTCTCCATGATCATTCTATACGAGGAACCGAATCTTGTCAAATACTTCTTATCCCTCCCTACCCAGAACCACTTTTGTAACCTTCTCTCATGTTTTACTTCTTCAACCCGAAACATCATGTTCTGCTGCAAATGCCATGATTCAATCATTGTTACTTTTTAAGTAATGTCAGTTCATACTTATCTCTTTTTTAAAAACGATCCAAAAGTTCATGATAATGATATTGAAAATTCCTTTCCTTTTTAACGCCATCCATGTTACGAACAACCAATCATATCTGATCCAAAAGACAATAACCTCCCCTCTTTTCTTCCACCATACCAAATCTTGTCTATATTCAAACAAAAGACCAAGAGGTACATAAGGTATAGACTCCTCTAAAAAGGAATGATACTGATAACATATAGCCATATAGAAAATCCAAAAGTCATAACCCCCGAAAATCAAAATTCCAAAACCCATCAAATATGAAGACCGAATTCCCACCCATTACCCCGCACTTCGATACCACCTCATGTTGTGAGACTCTCCGACATTTTCAGCGTTTCCGACCTCATTCAATGAGCTGGGGTTGGAACATCTTGACCATCATCCCGTAACATTCGAATGAAAGCACGTTCTTGGGAATCTACGTCTGCTGTTAGCCAAATCTGTCCCCAGATAAATATCAGAGAAATTCTTACTCGGTCGAGTATAGTTTGGGCCGGACTCTTCCACGGTAATCGACCGTGTATCCACCTGTTCATCGCAAACAACTGCACCATCTGGACCTGACTCGGGAGAATAATCCATTCTCATCAAACTGATTCGAAGGCGATAGCGGCCAGTGGCGTGAATTGCAAGATCTGGGAAAAAGAAGTATGCCTGATCGCGAACACCTCTAGATCTGGTTTGAGCAATTGGATGCGCGGAATCGGCAGCTTTACCTTCCATTTGTTCATATATGACTTGGCCGCTGGCGTAATGGATGAGCGAAACACAGGTCCAGTAGCCGGCAAGATGTTCATACAAATCATGTTCACTACTGAGTTGAACGATAAGAGGAGGATACAAGATTGCTCCTGGGCGAACTCGAGCGGGAGGTTGGACTGCGATAGACAACATGGTGAAGGTAGAGCGGGTATTGAGACTTGTTGAGTATGGTTACTGATGGAAGAGCTCTTTGACTACCAGAAACTGGAACCCGAAGTGTTATGAATGATGATGGTTATCGAATGCGATTCTCTTCTTCTGATCTCAGTTAAAAACTTGTCAATTTTCGGATTGCGGTAATGCTCGAAGTGCTGGACTTGTGAATGGCGGATGAATGCTTGACTGGATGATATTGGAAGTGTGTTATGATTGTCGAAGTGAGGACGATATGAATGAAGGGAGGACTGATTGAGATGATGGGGAGGAATACTTCGAAAACATGGACGATTGGACTCCTTTTATCTTTCTTCATGGCTCACGCTCGGAGAAGAAAGTAATTGAGGCTGAGATACTTCTTGAGCATATCCTAGATGAGAGAAAATCTTCAGTCCCGATAGGTATCTCAAAAAGAGCTCATGCCGCCTCAATCGATTGGAGAACCACCCGCTTGTGTTCTCACGACCAGTCATAGCCAATCTATTTTCGATAATATCAGCTCTGACCGCATTGACCGAAGAACACTTTCTTGATTTACTACGGGTAATCCCTCTCTGTGGCCTTTTCTTCTTTGTTTCTTTCTTCTTTTTCCCTCAGACTATTGCTCGGGGAATTCCACGCCAGGGAAGCCGGTTGCACTGATACACACATTATTGTGAGAGTCTTAGATCTACTCAAGATTTGAGCGTTGTATAGATCTAATGCAACGAAATGCAAGATTGATTTCATGCCGTATTCCCAAGGGAGTGGTCCAGGACCACGGTGGTAAATCGCAAGCCATCCTTATCTCGGTAAGGGCCACTCGGCCACGCTAAGGGAAAAATACAGGCCATCGGTCCCGGCAACTTGTCACCATTGTCACCTCGGCTCTTGAGGGGCAATGTGGAAAAAATATCAATAAATTACAACAAAAGTATACAACAGGATTGCGGACTAAAAATTCGAATTTAATTTGGATTAACCTTGGATTGATGTTACATTAGAGAGATATCTTTCTCTTTTTAACATTTCTTTCCCGTGTACCTCGATAGTACCTGGGTACTTTTCCCTTGATGTCAATGGATCATCTATTCTACACCTTAATCCGAGTTTATTGACTATACTTCAGCCCGAGTTTAGCATCAATTTACCTTTACACCTGACTAGTTTGCTCAATCCGAGTTTAGTATCAATTTATTACACCTGACTAACCCGCAAATCAACCCGAGTTTAGCATCAATTGGGCTACACGTCAATCTGATTTTAGGATAATCAATTGCCGGATGAAAAAGGGTTTCTTTCAGTGAAACTTATTGACACACGGGAGAGTCTTATTTTCCTCTCCTAAAATTCTTACTGTAAGGCAGTGTCAGCTCCTCAGTTATATGCATTATCACTTTTTATTATGGTGTGTTGGTGGCGCTCCTCAAAAGCCTTTTTGGAGGTTATATGACCGATTTTCAATACCCTGTTAAGGTCTCGTGGGGATCTCAGCTATTTAGGGCTAAACATCAACTTAATCAAAAATGACCGATCGGCTCCAGCCTCGGATATCTTTTCTCATGGGGATTAAGTGAGAACACCCTTTCGAGAATTTTCCTGAAGCTTTTGAAGTTGGAATGCGCATCAGTGATATCAACACTCAGAAGCTTCAAATTTCATGGTCATAGTCATGCTGTTGGTGGGGCCTCGGGTTCAAGGGTATCAAAAGCCTCATGACATACTCACCAAATCTTCACCGTCACACGACATTATTGGAGAAAACTACCAGCAAGGATAACAATCGAGTGGACTATATGTGTTCAAATTATACTTACTTCCGCGAATGGAGTGAAGGGATTCACCCGATCTTCTGGACTCATCTAGACGCTGGCTGATTTTGGAACAGGGATCAATGAAGATTCTTCTACTCGGGAAACCGCTAGAATTACCAAGATTGCGATCCCAGTATCCTGCATGGCAGAAACACTCCCTTTAGCTTTATAGATCTGGTTTGAGATCTCGGTTTCACAACATATTGCCGCTGCACCAGGGTTTTGGGGCCCCTCAAATATTCAATTGCTGGACGAACCACTCAATGGGATTGTACCCCACACCTACTATGGTCAAATTTGGGAATCGTGAGAATGCATAGGTAATTATTTTCACATATTTACTGGGAAAAGCTTACATAAGTAAGACTCAGTTGATGGAAGTCATTGTTATTTTATTTTCCAAACGGATAACAAAACATCAAGTGGAAGGAGAGAACATTGCTCGCGGGTTCAAGCGTTAAGGAGGGGTAACAGTTGGCGCAGTTGCAGGTCGCAGTTACCCCCCTCAGTCCATCATGAGTTCTTTCCTCCATGGATTACCATGATCATTAAATTTCCGATTAATATCGTCTCTAAATATTTCTCTCTTATCATTCCTCATTCCTTCACCATTCCCTCATTACCTATAGCACCCTTAGACAGCCATATACCACGTATTACGAACCTTACCTCAAAGACTGTTTGACATTTTCTTCCGCGTCCAGATCGTGAGACTTTGAACAATACATACGAGTCATTCTCAACCCTCGAAAAGTTCACGGACCGGCATAACGAGCACATTTCTAGGTACTTATCGCATTGGCATCATCATACATCCTTCTTGCAGTTATGCTGCATCGTGTCACAGGCACCTTCTGATTTCCTCTTTATAGTATTTTTGAGACTTGCACTTAGTTATAGCCTCGATTCATGTATACTGTGGAAGAGGACACCATACTCCGCATCATTCTTCCATCCATTCTCGCCTGTGTCGCAATCATTTTGGCGTATTCGGCTTTGAACTTTTTCTACAAACGTCAATTCGGAAGTCAACGTCGCGATTCAACACATACCATATGAAATCGACAGTCAAAAGTATTACGGTTCTGGTCATCATACTCGCTGCAATTGGTTTTTGTCTCCTTGCTATCATTTTTTACATGAGCTTTAAGAAGTTTTACTGTCGTCGAGAATCGATCGCGGGCCAAATCCCTGAGCACACTATGCCATGGCGTACCAAGGTGTGAGAATACTCGTCTTTATGTGTTCCCGATTTGAACACATTCGGAGAAGCCATTGAGAAACACCTAATCGACCGGAGATTCTTGCCGATTCTTCTCCCTTACAGCCCTTTCCTTGGGTGGCAGATAATTCTCATGTTAGCCAGCGTGATTCGTTGAAAAGTAGCATGGCTATTCCAATCTGGTGGCAGGTCTTTGGAATCACAAACTCGATCTACTCACTGGAAATTTACCTTGTGGCTGGCCCGTCATCAACAAGCACCAGTATCTCGAATGAGCATCATATCGGGAACGTTCAGTAGTCATTGAATTTGGCACGAACATAGCACTCTTGTCATGTCAGACCAGAGTCTTCCGTTAAAGAGGTAGTACGGAATCTTTTGGTATTGCGCGGTTTATTGAGATTGCGATCGACCTCTAGATAGCTCACTGCATTAGAATACGAAAGTTTCCTACGAAACCACCTCTACAAGGTTCTCGCCTTCCTTCTGGTGATTCTTGACCGCTACTTGACGCCTGGTCCCATACACACTTCCAGGATCTCCAATTCATCAAGGCCGTTATGTGATCCAAAACCTCATCTATCGGATATCGCGATCCTCCTGACAGTCATCTAGATTTAGATCTCCGAATCTAAGCCATGTGAAGTACACATCTTGTCTCTTTCTGCTAGTCACTAATGACAGCCGCCAACCCAGTTTGGTGGAGTACGTGCCGTGAGACAAGTGTCAATTTTCTTCAGATCAACGTTGCATGCAAATTAGAAAATGGGATCCTACAGAACGGTCAAAGCAAAAGAAGTTGTCACAATCATATGATTACTTTATGCATATATCTTCCTAGTGTCTTTTCAATGGAGCAAGGCAAACCCCTGAAAATATCGCGAGCTCCAGAAATATTAAGGTTAAATTTTCGGTCCCTTCTGCGTGGCACAAAATGGCCGGGTAGGCGATTCTAGACTGATGGATCAGCAGACCCCCGAGATTCTGGCTCCGGTACCATTTCCCCGGCGAATAGACTCCCGAAAATTTGTCCCACTGAAGCGCTGAACTTCAGCACCAGTGATCTGAGGGTATTCCAATACCTACGTCATTTTATTTTCAATTCGGCCATGTCGGCATGAGATTATTATTGTATTTGTTTTGATTGCAATACGATGGTGAGATATTAGGTTCGTGGGATTTGTCGGTGCGTAATACGCTTTGATGGTATCCGTGATTGTTGATGTAAGAGGCTCCAATTTTTACCCGGGTTCGGATGATACCGAAATTTATTGGGGAGAAGGGGATTGATTTTTCATCTATCGATTCGGCCTTTATAGTCGGACCAGGGGTGGACGAATGATCTTTACAGCACCTTTTTTTAGCGCTGCACATCGATATGTTATGAAGAAGACAGATGTCATATCACGATCTTCTCCAGACCAATTTTAATCCTCCCAAAGCAGGAAGGCTCACAGCTGTCATATCTGCGCCGTCAGAAAGGTTATGTCGAACAGAGTCCTTTTCCTCCTAGTATTCCGCGCTATGAGAACCATGCCAACAATTCTACCCTGAACATCACCCTGCACGGATGAATTTCGATTAATGCACAGATCAACAACATTGAAAATTCCTCTGTTTCCTCTACAATCATAAGATGAATATTTCCTCACAGGACGATACCATGATAAATCACAACATCAACAAAAAATTCTCGAACTGAAAGGGTTCATTGACATTGGATAGGAACGAAAAGGATGAGAAAATGCTTTTGGGAATTGCTAGGGTCGATTCTTGTTTATGCAGACAGGGCAATGTTAGGTAGGTAGGAAGATATGGATATAATTTGCTGTACAGGATAGGGAATATTCTATATACACATTGGTGAAGAATTGAGCTTCTGAGAATATTTGCAAGCTCTGTTATTGCGCGATAGGGATTAAGGGATAGTGAGAGGTGGGTTGTTGTTAATTCGGGTTCTTGATTAGATTTAAGGTAAAGATGTCATTTATATTAGGGATTCTTTCTGTTAACTTTGATGTTTGTTTTAATGACTTCATTCGAAAGGTTGTGACAGGAAATGATCCAGCGCTTTCATCTTATTTTCATTCTATTTTATAATATAATGCAAATCTCAAATCTCAAATCTCAAATCAAGGTTACAAAAACCAATAATAAACAACTTATAATAATATTTCTTTCTTTTTATAGATTAATAAATATTTATTAAATAAATCTTATTTTAATTTGAGTGGATAAGTTTACACTCTGTAAAGATAAATATATTTATTTGTATTAGATATAAGAGATGGAGGGGAGGGGGCTGCGTATGTGTATGGTTGTGATTAGGGATGAGAAGATGAGGGGATGATAAGAGGATGGGGGGATGGTTTTGAGTTAAGGGAAGTTTGAGGGGGTTATTAGGGGTGAGAGGTGAGGGGTAAGGTCTGAGAGGAGGTGTGGAATGTATATGGATAATTGATTAATCGTAAAAGGAATAGAGGGGGTGGATTAGAGATTAAGGGTTGAGGATTAAAAAGTGGTATAGAATGGAATGGGTTTATTGAGTGTAGTGTATTATAGAATATTGATGAAGAGGTCAGGGTATTGAGAATGAAGTGACTCTTTTGATATTAATAGGTTTATATAGATTTATATTATAGATTTAGATTTGGGATTTGAGATTTGGGATAGAGTTCTAGAGATAGAGTAGGGTTTGAGTTTTGAGATAAATTGATATATTTATTAAATATATTATAAAAGTTTAATATCTTATATTAAGATTTGAGAGATAAAAATAAATATTAAAGATTTATTATGTTTTTTCAAAGGATTAAATAAAATATAAATATAAATTTTGTTTTTGTTTTTATTTATAATATATTTATTAATATTAATATTAATTATTATATTCAATTAATTTTTTATATATATTTTCTATTAAGATTATTATTTAGAAAGACTATTTATTTAAATATATAATATTAATTTTAGATCTATTAATCAATAAATTCTCTTTAATATCTTTTAATACATCTTATAAAAATAAAAATAAAATGTAAAAAATAAAATATATATATATATAAAAGAAACCAGTTCTCAGCTTTTAACTCCTAGTTCCTGTCTAATACCTCTACCCCTCAATACACCCCGCGTCAAAAACAAACCTACTCCTGCTCTTCCATCCACCTATCCACACTAACTACTCATAAAAGTAAGTACCTACTAATATCAAAATTAAAGTTTAATAAATACCCAAAGCGCAAACACACACATATCCGGGTCCGTGGCTATGGGATGTACATAATTGGTACTGTTCTTGTACTTTTACTTGTACGTATACATATACTTGTGAGATGTGAAGCGTGAGATGTGAAATTTGAGATGAAAGGGAATGCGTGATATTTTTCCAAATCGGCGGTTCTAGAATTGCAGATTGTGGAGGTGGGGTAGGGGTAGGGGTAGGGGTTTGAGTTGGGCTGAGGTTTGGGATGAAAGAGGAGAGAGGAGGAGGAGGATCTGATATGATATGCTGCTGGGATGGAGGTATTTTTGGGGTTTGGTTTATTTATTGATGGATCAGTGTTTTTACGGGGTAGGAGGAGGGATATGATGATTAAGGCTAGTAATCTATTATGTGGGATAATGTTATATTATTATTGTATTTTACAGCGAGGGTAGCAAGAGAAGAGAAGGAAGCCCTAATGTCACCAGGCAAATATTCATCCTGATACCCTTCCACCCATGATCCACGTGTAAGCAACGAAATGCAGTACCTTCAGATTCATACAAAAATAATCTATATCTCTCGATCTTCTCTCACAGAAAAGAAAGCATGCCAGTGACGAAAATATGCAAGATTCAGTAGATCAAGATCTTTACCAAAAAGCACTTACCTACCTACATATGCATGCATGCATATAGATGTTTAACATTGATCATTCTCGGTTATCGTAAACATATACGTCATGACGTTTTTCCCGTCTTTAGAGAAGTAAGTTCACCTACTAGAGGAGGTAGGGTCTACCTGGTTCTTCATCTATCTCACAAACATTATCTGCAGGAAGAAAAGATATCTTCCCCGGTGGAATCGGATCGGACACAGGATGACAGGGCTTGGTTCTGCGCATGGATATTGCCAATGTTCGTTTGTGGAGGAGCCAAATGAGCGGTATGATTATGATAGATGCCAAACCAGCTGTGTAGCATAAGGATGCGGGAAGAAAAGGTTATTCGGGATGAGACAACCAAAGGGTCCATCTAGAAAGGACTTTGTGGTTTCGTAGAAGTGTTTGTGCGCATTTTGCTTTTTCCATGTCCCTGATAGAGCGAGCTAGATTGATCAGCAAACATGTAAAATAAACACGAACTATTATTATTGTCTTTTTCCTACCGCCAGCCGTTACTCTCAAAACTTATTCTTGTATCTTTCTCTCCGATCTTCAATTGGTATGTATTTGTATTTGTGTCCCATCCGCACGGCCAGCGCAGCGCAGTAAACACAAAAGTGCTACTCGAGAGACAAAAAAAGGTCTCGTTAATCTAAATCAATCTCTACATTTCCCCAATCCCAGATATCAATAACCTCCGAGTTTGGGAAAACGGCGGTCAAGGATATAAACCCTCAAGAATAGATGATTGAAGTATGAAGTCGGTGGCTTGCAGGCACGGGCTATCTTCAGAGGGCTGAATACCGGTCGCGTGGTACGGCGGGTCGAGATCTGGCATCGGACACCATGTTTTTTTTGTGCCAGATTGATACGAGATGGTGGTGGATAAGATGCAGAGCTAGTGTATTATGGTGTGACGTTTCATGGGATAGTTATGGTTGGGGGTATTGAAGATGCGAAAGTAGCACGACAGAAGCGAGTTGATGTTGTGAGGTGTGACTGGGGATTTCGCGTTGGAGCACACTCATTAGTGTGGGAGGGAATGGAGGAAATAGGCTTTTGATGAGGTTACTCATTGCTGGGATTTTTCCGATCGGAGTGGAGTTTGTGTGGTAGGTGGAATTTGGTGCGAGATGAGATGTACTTAGATCATGAGATGAGATGAGATGAGACCGTGTGATTTGGAACCGAGGTGGAGATGTAGATTGATGGGGAAAGAAGCCTGAGTTAGATCCGAGTTAGATTTGTGAAACTGTTGTTGCTCAAGTTAAAATTTCGTATCGTCAAGACAAAGTGCAAGGTCTTGAGAAAATTTGAAAACGTTAGGAGTCGAGACTCGGTCCATTGATATTGTCAAAAAGCAATTGTCAAAATGTCTTGTCGTCACCACTTATTCTCAACTTCATAGCAGAATCCCAATTAGGATGGATGAGGGCAGTAAAACTTGGAAATCCGAAGCACAAGATCAGATTTTGACGCAAGTGGCTTATTGACGTGTCGCACAGCATATATATGTTTGAGATGCGATATGATAAGTCGCATGATATTTTTTGGTCTTGATGCCCTCCCGAAGATTGATCCGTCTATGCGTGTCGAAGTATAATAAATGAAGACTCGGGATCGGTTAAAAGGATGGGAATTCGTTGTGTTTAGGTCCAAAAGTGTGAAAATTAATGTTCCGGATGGTCATATCGGTACGTATGTTTTCTTCCCGGTATGATGTCTAGCAGAGACTTCCGCAAGTGTTCGTTTTGTTGATGGTGAAAAATCGCGCTTTGATCAGTCTGACTTCTCAAGAGTTGTAACGCAAATAATGATGACAGGAAGGAATAATTCATCCTTTTTTCATATACAAAACTGATGACCTCGGGAAAATGAGACATGGTTAATGGAGAAACCTGTGACATTCAATTGCGAAAAACTTGTCCTGCAAATCGCAGACTGTGACAGATTATCTCAACCGACCCCCTTTCTTCAATACACCGCTTTAAAGGGGTAGTCGATTTAGTAAATCGATAAAGTAACCAGATCCATTATCCTTATTTTCGCTACAGCCCAAACTAGAGCTATCCGCGGGAGCCAAGCAACCTTCTAGATCTAGACTAAATCTACTCTTGACAGTCGACTAAAGCACTTCGAAGTATCATGTCATGCGAAAGCAGCGACATAAATTTCGTGGTGTAAGCACTGTGAAAGATTTCCTTTTCGGGAAAAGAAGGTGACAATGTAAACACCGACAAGAGTTTGCGGAGTTCTGGAGATGAATAATAAAATCATGACTTGTGGATGCGATGATGTCTTTCTGCTTCACTAGTTTGGTTCTTGTTGTCCTATGTTGGCCGGCGACCCATTTTTTGATTTTATTTGATACCAATTAATTCGCTGGGATTGAATTTCTCCGTGGGAACTTTTGTATTTGAAAAATGGATGCTCTTCATGTCGTTTCTTCCACTATCAATTTTTGATGATAATCACGAAATTTACCTCCTTCAGGCGCAGCAAGGCTGTTTTATCGCGCGTTTAAAACAGATTCAAAAGATTTCGCAACTTCCAAGGCGGAGCTTAGGCGCAAGAAAAAGATAGACGCTGAAAACTGTTTACCGCTGGCAACTTTGAACCCACGGCGGCGTCAAAGGTCATGATATTCATACAAATAGCAGAATTAGTTTCCTACACAATAGGAATACTGTAAGCGGCTCGACGGCTTAACGTTCGACCTCAGCACTCGTGATGGGTTTTGGTTGAGAAATTTGCAATCTTGGCCTCGTCCGGGTTGTACGCAAAAAACTGATCAGAAAAGACTCCATATTTTCTCCAGAATTTGATTTGGCGGATCGCTCAAGTATCATGAAGCATAGACTCACTCCATTACTCCATTACTCCAGTCCTCCAACCTCGGATGACCCGAGCGAAAACATACGCGTAGACCCATTCTTACCAACCACCCTGCCCCACAACAGCTATCAGCACCCTTGTTTGTTCATACTGTATTTGCATGTTCGCTGTAGTTTCCCTATACAGGCAAGGGGAGAGCTTGCTCCCTATCAAGATTATGTGATCTGGCAATTAATGCTACACTTCACATTCGCAAAGAGAACAACAAAAGGGGCATACGCAAACTTGGAAACATTATCATTCTTTCAAACCTCGACATAATTTTTGGAGAATTATAAAATCTCAACTTTTTACGGGGCGGGTTCGCTTATTCTCCGCCCGGGCCGTGTAGATCCTACCGACTATTTGCGTCAAATTGACACAGGATGAAGCGATTGTGGGTGGGAATTGTTGGAAGTCACTACGGAGTAGACTTTCCCAGGTATGATTTCGGTGGAACCATCGACCCCGTGGGCGAACAAACATGGTATTTGCCACCCCATGGGGATTGTTGACGCCAAGAATTATCAACCATTTACAACCCCTGAGTAACTTCGACAACAACACTAAAGAATGGGAAGCCGTCCACTATTCTGCAATGGCTTGGCTTCCATCCAACATGTTGGCTTTTCTCTATTCTAAATGGTGGAATTACTTCTCCCCTGCTCAGAGGTCACATTAGGAACACAATTTTCCCACGAATGAACTGTAAGCCCATCCAACGAAACATATTGCGGCTCGTGGTTTTGGTGTTAGCCACTTTGGAAAGTACATAACATACATTGATACCTCCCTCAGAATGAACTTCTTTTTCTCTCCCTTATCGGCCTCTTGTCGAATAAAATATCTAAAGTTGTCAAGAATTGCCTCGACAGCAAAACCGTCAACATGCCGTCCTCTTTTTTCAAGAATTATCGCATCTATTTTCTGACGGCCGTGGCTTACATGGGCTCGTTACTTTTCGGTAGGTTGATTTATACTCCATGCTTTGAGTTCCTCCCATACTCCAAATAGCGAATCAGAAAAGCGGAAATGACTGACATAATTTGGTGCAAAAGGATATGATACCGGTGTGATGGGCTCTGTTTTAGCCCTTAAAAGTTTCAGAGGCGATTTCGGACTTCCGCTTGAGTCGACAGGATTTGGTGGAAGTCAGAATGCACAGGTTGCTTCGAATGTTGTTTCACTGCTTACAGCTGGTTGTTTCTTCGGCTCTATTGCCGCCGCTTACTGCAATGATCGATTTGGAAGAAAATTCTCTCTCATCGGGTTCAGCTCTATTTTCCTCGTCGGTGCCGCTATTCAAACCAGTGCTAGTCATAGTATTGGACAAATATATGCTGGTCGTGTTATCGCTGGTCTGGGTGTTGGTGGAATGTCCTCTATCACTCCTGTTTATGTTACGGAGAATGCTCCTCCCGCTATTAGAGGACGTATCACAGGAATGTTTCAAGAGTTCTTGGTTCTCGGTTCAACCTTCGCTTACTGGTTGAACTACGGCGTTGCATTACACATTCCCACATCCACCAAGCAATGGAGAATCCCAGTCGCTATTCAACTCATCCCTGGTGGATTCCTCCTAATCGGTCTACTATTCTTGAAAGAATCTCCTAGATGGCTAGCTAAGCAGGGGAGGTATGAAGAAGCTACTGCTTCAATGGCGTGGACCAGATGTACCACACCAGAAGATGAGGAAATTATGCAAGAAATTGCCGAGATCCGTGCATCCATTGAAGAAGAACTTGCTGCAACTGAAGGACTTTCCTGGAAAGAGTGTCTCGCACCAGCCAACCGAATCAGATTCTTCACAGCTTTCTGTCTTATGTTCTGGCAACAATTCTCCGGAACTAACTCTATTGGATACTATGCGCCACAAATCTTCGAGACCATCGGTATCTCGGCAGCTAACACCGCCTTGTTTGCGACCGGTATTTATGGTACTGTTAAAGTTATCACTACCGGTATCTTTTTGTTCACCGGAATCGATACATTAGGTCGTCGCAAGTCTCTTATCTTTGGTGCTGCCTGGATGATGACCATGATGTTTATCCTGTCTGCTGTCCTCGTTACTCACCCACCCAACACCAAAGCAACCAGCGTCGCACCGGCATCCATCGCCATGGTCGTAATGATCTACCTGTACGTCATTGGATATTCTGCATCTTGGGGTCCTATCCCATGGGTTTACGTATCCGAGATATTCCCCACGCGTCTCCGTTCCTATGGTGTTGGTCTCGCAGCTTCAACTCAATGGCTATGTAACTTTGCCGTCACTGAAATTACACCTATAGCTGTTTCTAATATCGGATGGAGAACCTTCTTAATGTTTGGTTTCTTCTGTTTCGGTATGGGTACTTGGGCTTTCTTCATTGTCAAGGAGACTAAAGGAAAGACGTTGGAGGAATTAGATATCCTATTTGGAGCTGTTAATGCTGAGCAAAGAGCTCAGGATGTAGAAGCAGTGCTTCATTCAAAGAAGGAAGTTGTTCACTATGAGGGTGACGAGTCCGTTGGAAGTAAAGCTGGCACTGTTAGAGTTGAGAACGGTGCTACGGACGATAAGACTATTTAGATGGTTTATGATAATGACTGGGTAATATTTATGATAGATGTTATGTATACAGAGTCCGACATCTGCTTGCTTTATATTTGGCTGCAGTGTCGTTGATTAGAGCTCGATAGATGAATGAATGCTTGAATAATGATAACGCAAATGAGCACTTCAAAGATATCTCGGTGTACAATTTTTGTGAGTAACCATGTATAGTAACACAGTTCATACAAACCGAATGAGATTCGGTGATTGAAGACTCCAAAATTCGTAATCTACTCGATTGTGGAAAGGAAACGGATGATATTTGACAAACCCGCATCTTCCACCAGATATTGATGCAGTATTCAACCAACTCTTTCAAAATCAGTAAAGAATTCATTCCGAAGTCTAGAAGCTCAAATTCACATAAATCATTCAACCCCCAAATTACCAAAAAAACATTATCGGAGACAAGTACAGAAATTAGGTGCCTTAAATGATATCCAAAATGGTGACATTGTGTTTAGTGACACGGAAGTATTGGCATCCTCAATCCCATAATTTCCTCTATCCAATATCACAGAACATCCGTAAAGAATATGAAAGTATATCAAATTTATGATAAATAACCATTCACTACCACTAATGTCCCATATGTGTTATTCACCATGATATGATACCTTCCCCATCTTCTCACTCCCTACTCCTCGCTTCCACTCCAACCAGCGTCCTCTAATCAAATTCAGAATTTGATTAGTCGCCATGGTAATCAACTAGTGAATAATATGGAATGAATAGATAACAGTGAGTAAAATGAATTGCTTAATGACTAATTTGCAATACCTTGTAGTTATCAGTTTAGATACAGGAGGATAAATCTCCTCTAGGATATTGCGATTCATGTTAGGCATTTTGCTATTATAACATCTGCCAGACTGCGTCTAATTCAGACAGATGGACAGACATGGTCTTTTTATCGGTTCTAGGATCTAGATGGATTATTCGGTGAAGGAATATTGATATCGTAATGATATTTGGTATCTGGTAGGTGGGGATGTACAAGTGTTGCGCCGTTGACTGCATTTGTTGGTTTCGCTTCATGGTAACGGTTTTTGACGCTGCCATACTATGTTTAGTATTCTCTAAATAAGTAATTAATCCCAGAATAGCTTCTCCCCTTTCTCTAAGAATTTTTGGTGTAGATTTGACTCTACTATTTATTCCTATCCAGTAAACTCAGCCGGATGTCTGGGATGCACCTTCAAGCACATCTGACCATTGCTTTATAGATGCGGCTTATTTTCTAGAGTGACTTGTATATAAAGAGAAAATGGAAGCATATTGTTTTACAATATACAGAAATAAGTTTGCGTGAGATGGAGTGGTTTTATCCCCCAAGGTTGTTGTGCAACTTTGTATCAGCACATTATCCACACCACCGCATCCGTCTCAAATCCCGAAATTTCTGACATTCGCCCCCTATCTTTCTTTTTTTTTTGTTCCAGCGGCGTGAGTATATACGGCGCGAAGACAAAGTGTGACGAAGACTAGAAGATGTGTACAAAAAAGGAAAGTTGGTGCTAATACTTAAAAGGCTGGAAGTTAAGATGGAAGTGAAGATGTGAGTGAAGTCTATATTTGTATGTATTATAATTCAAACATTAAAATATTTTCATTCTCAAATCTCGAAGCTCGAAGATAATCCTAGAATGAAGTCTCCCCTGATGTTGAGTTGGAACTACTACCATCTATCGTCTACATGGCAGGATGAGGGACTCTTGATTCTTATTCCGTTTTGACAATGAACCCATCATTATTAATTTGAACGAGGTAAGATAAGCTTCGAGCCGTTTGCAGGTTTTTACAGTCTTGGTTGTTGACATGATGGCTTTGCATACCTACACAAATATTTGAGGTTTACACCGCAGAAAGAAACAAAATAAATAATTTAACATCCAAAGATCAAGCATGAGAGGCACCATCATCATACATATATATACATATAGATTAATGTGAGCTTGATATACCACTCGCAGCCACAAAACCAACCATCTTCGTCAGCCTGGGCGTTCTAAATTTCAAGGTTCTCGCATTCAGCCTCGAAGGATTCTACCCTCAGTTGGTCCTACGTACAATAATCTTCAACGGAGGAATCAGCTTACATGATCCGCACTGCGCCATCTCTAGCATTAAAGGACTTCGTTTCATGTTGTACAGGGATAAGTCACATGTTCTTATTAAATAATATAACATTATCTGTATCGATATGTGAGTGAAAATGGCACCGAATTTGAAGAATCCTCATAATTAACAAACATGTTTGGAAAATCCCACGAGATCCACTTTAGGAATGATAGTTTGGGTTCATGTTATGGAGGTGAATCTTGAGTTGTTATTATTGGTGAATTCATGATTTAAGCATTGGGGTTTGCGTACAATGTTTGTGAAAGTCTTCTAGATGGGATATAGAAGTAGGTATTATCACTTGAAAACCACATACAGCCAAGCATCCTGGCTCTTCGAGATTCATATAATAAACGCCCATCCGGCATCCATCCAGCCAAGATTCCAATACAACCTAAATCATCCTACTACTACTGTACCACTTTCAAGATTCACACAAAAGAATTCCCCAGTGGTGAAGCCCAGTCGAAAACAAACCATTACACCGAACAAAAAAGAACAAATTTGCCGTATCCTTCATCCTCCTCTTCCTCCACTTCCACATCCGGCACTTGCCAAGGTAACTTCGGGGATATGCATATCAATCTTCTACGAGATCCCTCCCATCTAAAATTACCCGATCCATCGTTCTCGGACAGGGAAGTGTGATATCTGTAATTGATCTATAGGATTCATTTACCCAGTATGTATTCTAAAACCAATATCAAAATTGACCTATGGATCTTTGAATCCCCACATCCTAATTGGAGATGAAGTATCTCTGTTATGGCAAATTGTGGGAAGAGTACGGTTGATTTACCTAAGGATGATGATTAGCAATGTCCGCCTTGTACGGTACAGAATGTTTATATAAGTCTTCCATTCAACCCTTGATCTGAAAATTCTTCTTCTATCCTACAACATCAACCACATTCCTTTCAACAAGTGTATCCTCTTCGTTGATATCAGACTGGTCTGTTTGTCTCTTCGTACTTCTCGGACATTACTTTCCTTCATACAAACATACTCTCCTTCAGTACAGAAGCTGGACTTTAGTTTACTTCAAAATGCAATCTCTTGCAGTTTCCGTCCTTTGTGCACTTTCCTGCCTCGTCTCCATGACGAGTGGATACAAGTTGGTTCATAATTATGATCATACCAACTGGTTCACTTCATTCATCTATGAGAATGTCAGTATTCCCAAACATATCTTCATCTAAAGAGAAACTAACTCTATCTAGCTTCCGGATCCTACCCATGGAAATGTCAACTATGTCTCTTTAGCTGAAGCGCAGAAGCTTGGTTTGACCAGGGTCATTGGTAACCAGGTTTACATGGGCGTAGATAATACCACTGTTCTATCCGATACTGTCAATGGAAAGCGTAATAGCATCTGGGTTGAATCAGTTCACGACTTTACCCATGGTATCCTCATTGGTGATTTTGCCCACATGCCTGCTAGCGACTGTGGTACCTGGCCAGGTTTGTAAGTATTCATCATTCATCTAATCCCCAAGCAGTCGACCAGCACTAGTAGTAATCGCTAACCCGCTCGCTAGCTGGACCATTCGTAATGGTGGCGATCTTCCATATGGTGAAATTGATATCCTCGAAGGCTCCAACGATATCACTCAAGCCTTCATCTCTCTCCATACCGAAAAGACCTGCACCTTTAACCCTCCCAAGACTGCTCAGCTCGGCAAGCTCAACAACGGCAATACCAATTGTCAACTAGGCAATGGTGCAGGATGTTCTATTCAATCTAGCGCAGACTCCTACGGAACACCTTTCAATAAGAACGGCGGTGGTGTCTATGCTATGCAATGGACCTCTTCATTTATCCGAGTTTGGTTTTTCGCACGTAGCAAGATTCCTGCTGATATCAAGGCTGGTACTCCGGATCCAACAAAGTGGGGACTTCCTACTGCGAATTTCGACAGTGCGAATGGTGGTTGTGATCTCGATGCTAATTTCCCGGCTCAGACAGTCGTAAGTATTACTTTGTTTCTCATCTCAATCTCATACCACTATTCCTCCTCAAACCATACTCAACCCTACTCTTTCCATCCTTCATTATAAAGTCAAATCAAACTAATCCCACCTAGTACTTCGACACGACCTTTTGCGGCGCTGGAGCTGGCGGACAAGCCTGGTCCGACTGGTCGGATTGTCCCGCAAAGACTGGCTACTCAACTTGCCAAGAATACGTCGCCAAGGTCCCCCACGCCTTCGACGATGCATACTGGCTTGTCAATTCTGTCAAGATCTACCAATAGACTTGACTTTTATCTTCTTCTTTCTCTTTTCCTGCGTTGCTCACTTATCAACACTTTCGCCTTCCAAACCATAACTCGCTCATCTTCGATTTCAGGATTTCGATACTGAACGAATTCCTCATGGGCATGATATGGGAGGATATTCATTGATGGATCGGACGTACAAAAGTAATGCCGGAGCTGGGGATTTCATTTCATAAAAGAGCTGTAATTTCAAATGCATTGCATTCATGGATTCTTGGCGGGTATCATTTGCTATGTTTGTGAGGGAGGGCTGTTTATTTCTGCTTTTGTGGCTTCTGGGAATGTGGTTTTTTGATTGCATGAGGCTAGTTGATAGTTGATAGTTACTGATATTTTGCTCCCCAAATTTCAACTTGCTAGTATTTGTGATGTTACGTGATGTGATTGTGCTATGCATTGTGTTTGGTGGATTGAACATAACTGTAGATGAAGCTGGGGAAGTTTTCCAGGGCAAGATATTTTCCAGGTGAGGTTGTGCAGCTCTAGCTCACTATCAGTGACAATACCAAAAGGCGAACAATGCCGAAATCATAGAATCAGTCATTTTCTTCCCCAAGCACTTATCAAAGGGAGTCACGATGCACTTACTCCAAGACACAATCATTCACACTCAAATCGGTAAACCTACCACATCATCAAACTATCTTCAATTTCTCGTATTACTGCAATCATGCCTTTCCAGTTGAACCAATGATATCCATCTGATGTTCGATCAATTCCTGAATCAAAGTTGTGCCCTTCTCCATAAGTTCCGTCAGGGGAATTTTTCCCGTATTTTCCGCTACATATTTGTTGTAGGTATTTAAAACCAAATCATTCAGATTACATCGTGTCATCCCCCCTTTTATACATTCTCTCATTGTATTGTCGGGGAATGTGTTAGTGCCGTGGAGAACTAGACGTACTCTACCATTTGTGGCTTTTCTTATATTTTCGAGTCTGAATGTGCGTTAGCCTCCATAATGCTAATAACGATACATTTCAAGAAACATGCTGTACATACCTTTCAAAATCCAACTTAATGTTCTCCACCCCACCATAATTTCCATGCACATTCCCAAAAGCTGGCGCCAAAAAATCTACCCCCGTATCCACAAACTTCATGGCCTCCTCAGGAGTCGTGAGTAACCCTTCCAAATCCCCTGTATCCTTCACTCCGTCCTCGCCCCCATTAATCCTTCCACATTCCGCCTCAACTGCTATGCCTTTCTCCCTCAAAATCTTGGTCAACCTTGTGGTCTTTTCTAGATTTTCCTCCTTCTCGTAATGCGACATATCTACCATTATACTATCGAAAAGTCCCATATCAGCAGCGGCGAGGATTTCATCTTCAGATTGTGCGTGGTCCATGTGTAAAACTATAGGTACAGTGGCGGTTCGACATGCGGCGGCTGCAAGATGGATTAGAAGCGGGGAATAATGGAGGGCCCATGGGAAGAGTAGGATTTGTGCGGGAGAACGTTTGCTTTCTGCGGCGCGGACGACGGCGGTTATAGTTTCGAGGTTGTACTGGGAGATAGGGAATTAGTTATATGGTAAGGGGGGATGGAAAGAGAGTGAGGGTTTCTTTTTTTGGTGAAATGTACGTACGGAGACTACTCCTACAACACCATAACCACCGTCTTCTGCTGCTTGAAGCATGCGAACTGCTTTATTATCTTCCATAGAATGTGGCATTATGTGTAAGTCTAGTTCAGTATAAAATACGAGGAAGAGAACCAGACAAAAACCCCGAAGATAGTAAGGATGTAAGATCCTACTTATGAATTGAAATCGCTCTGATGGTAACCTTACGACGACGATTGAATAACAGTGGAGTAGAGATTCATCAAATGGGGTTTCTCCCGAGCCCTTCCGATTTGGTGTGGTGGATTGTACCCCGCCATAGGGAAAAGGCTTCGGAATACCTTCCTATATGCATTTGTTCAACAAGAATGAGAAGTGCTTGCGAGGAACAGGGCCACTCGGAGAAAATATCAGCCACAGATAAAACTACGCTCTATGCAAGCCACATTGAATCAGCCACACAAGTTTGGTAAACCACCAGGTGAACTTGGCCCTCAAACCATCATTACCAGCCAGATAACAGTTACTGCACACTCTTGATTGTTTATTTATCTTCGTTGGGAGTCAAACTCAACAAAGCTTCTTGGTACAATCTTTAGGTCTAATGTGATGAAGATACATGTACTATTAGAGCTGAGCAAAGCAAGTGTTTTCCTCATTCAAAAGGCATATCACTAGCCTCCATAGATTCCTTTTTGGTGCAGAAGATATAGATTTCCAAAGAGAACTGGAACCTCCAAGGTGCTGTCAAAAGTTAGTTTATAATCTTTTGCATGCCGTGCTCGAACACACAAACAGAGGAATGTGTTTTCCTTATGGCACCGAACAAAATTTCCTCGTTGAGTTTTAGGTCGTTGTTAATCTTGGATTCTATTCTACTTTTATTATTCAGATATCTGGCTTTTGTAAAGGTTATTCCCAAGTAAGCATAATGGTGATTGCCAGAGACCTCTTGATGGATTGGGACCCAAAGCTGGGCCGTTTCCACAGCATCTGGGCAACTCAGGCTGCTACTAGATGGGCCTACAAGTATGGAGTTTTACCGGAGCATATGGACCCAACACAACTCTTTCATCCCTATGGCAAGTCGGGTATGTGTACCCTTTGAAGCTTAAAATAGTATCTAGCTAATGAAGCCGCTAAGGTTTGACGCCACATGCATCTGATAATCCCCATTTGCAGGAAGAAAGGAAGAATCTTCAGAAGTGGATTATGTCTGGATTTTGGCCCGAACTATTAGAAGAAACCGGGGCATATCCCCACCATATAAACTATACACCAGTTCTAACCAACCCAATTGAGTGAGTGATCCTTTCTTCTACTCATCTGTTAATGTCTTCTTCTACTGTTCTCTTCAACAGTTTACTCGCTGTATAGAGGCTACAGTAGGAGCCGCAATACTACATGATCTTTTCCTAACTACTTTCCAGTCCGCTTTTTGAGCGCATACAATGGCAACCTTATCATGCAGGAACCATTTGGCCGATACTCCACATGGAGTTTCCGCAACATGAACCATTCTTCCCCATAGAACCGGATAATACTATGCTTTGGACAGCAGATAATCCTGCTGTCTGGTGACGCTTAGGCCCAGTCTTAAGACTGTGCACAAGATTTTTAAACCATTCTTCAGCCACATGCTGGGTATGGGTTCTTTCCAAAGATAGAATATTTGGGCACTTATGATTGACTCTGTAGCTTGATGCTTTCTATTTTGTACTTTGTACAGACGTCCCTGATCGCCTCGATCGTCGTCCCGTTTGGCAGAAACTCGAACAGGGGCCCTTGAAATTTTTCATGAAAGAGATCCGTAGCTTCGTGACAATGCACAAACGGGAAAAAAGACCGAGGAAATGAAAGGTATAATGAGAAGCAGAGTACAATTTGGCATCAGTTCTTCAGCTCTTACACCCTGGGATAGGATAACGCCAAATGGACCTGGTCTGGGATGGGAAGGCTACACAATGGTCACCACCAAGCGGGAGAACAAGAATTTCGAATTTTACAGAGAGACTAAAGCCTGGATTGAAATAGCCTTACAACTGCTTTTACCTTTGTTCAGGCATAATCTATCACCGATAGACAAATTGTCATTACAATTTTATATTGCCTCAACGCTTTTGCATGAGTTTGCAGTAAGGATCGTAACTTTCATTTATTTTCAACACTGCCGCTAACAGTAATCAAGCACGCGCTCAATCAATTCCAAGATCCTCCAATGGGACGAAGCATTGTACGCAATGAGCCTGCATACGGTGGCGATGAGAACGGTAAAGGGGCGGAGGTATTTTGCGAGCTAGGCTATTCATTTGTCAAGGGAGTATGCTGAGAATTCAACATGTATGGAACAGGAATTGACCTCTTTTATAGCTTCTAGGTGTTATGCCAAAAATACTGAATCCCGTACACTGTGTTGGTGCTCCACCAATAGCTCTATTGCTTAGTAAAGAGATTCCGGCACGCAAATATGACAATGGGATTTTCTTGCATGATGCTGGAGAGGATTTCGCACAATTTGAGGAAACGAACAAGGTAGTACCAGTCTTGTCGAATTATTTCGAGTACATAGACACTGATGAGTTTTGGGATAAAATAACTCCAAACTTTGGGGTATCTATAATAGGGCCAGTACTAGCCTCAATCGTAGTCGTTGAACCAGATGCCTCACGTCCGGAGTTGTCCAGCTATGTCTTCAATGACTCTAAAAGGCGGTGGATGTATGAAGCGGAAGCTGTTGTGTCGGATATTGAGTTACTTTCATCATTGAGTCCCAATCAGCGAAGAGCTTATGGCATTGCACTAGAAAAAAAAGATCACGAGTTCACCAAGTTGAGAAGAGTGAGGTAGGTACCTCGACTTGCAGGAAGAAACAAAACAACGTGTCATGCAGTGCAATGATGCTCTTGAACTATATTTTATACGAAGTCCAGGAGATCTATAGGATTCCGAAATACATCGAATTCTTCGCTCCTGCGCGGAGAATTTACGGCGCGAAGCTGACCAGGAAACACAATTTGCCATTGACTTCATGGTCGATGCAGATTTGGACAGACCAAGCAGTTTGGAATTCAGCAACACTCTATTGGAAACGAATCAGCAAGCAATACGGATGGCCAGAATGGTACGGGAAGACTGTGATCGAGTCGGAGTAGCTACCCTAGGGCAGGATTATTATAATCTACGCCTGCACTTTGATCAAATCTTGTTCACATTACGATCTATCTATTTCATTCTCACCCAACGAATAAAACCAGGTAAAGGCGAACCGTACGAAAAACTCATTGATAGGGTCGGCAAGGCTATGAATCTTGACGAACATGAATGTGAGAGGTCGAGTGATGCAGCGAATCGAGTATCACATGCAGCTAGCAACCTCATAATAAGCAACCGGGCCATGCAGGCATACCAGGCACAAGACTATGAGCTATGTTATAAGCTTGGAAAAGAAATGCTATCCCAGTTCGACTTGGAAGGATATAACCAAGGAATAGGGATGGTTCTAATAGCTATGTATCCTGGAGAAATCAGACGCAGGTGGTGTTCTCGGCAAGGACTGCATGTTTTGAAGGTCATGGCTGATCAAACTCGACATCTTTACTAGAACAATGGTTATAGATTGCAATGCAAGTTAATACTTTTATTGAGGACTCGGCTGTTAACAGCGGCGTTGGGAATTAATTATGCATTTTGGGAATTAATGAGGCTCCTTAGTCGAGCATGGTCGACTTGAAAATGCAGTATTCATCACGGTAACGGAGTTCGTGCACTTCCTGGGTCATACTGGCTATACATATCAATACGGCAGTGATCCTTTCATCCAAATACAGGAGTTCACATCACCTTCCCGCAAGAAAGATGACATAAAGATATTGAAAGTTCCTCACCGCCTCACCCTAAGTTCCATGTAGAAACATGAAACACCAACGCTCCACCACATAAACTTTTCAAGCGTTCATATTACCAGCCTTTCAAACAGGAGGTCCAAGCCCCAGAAAACGGAGGATGGATTTATACCCTTCAATGATCATATCCCACGATATGATAGGAAGAAAGATAATGACCGCAAAATTGCAACAAGACAACTTTTCTCACCTTAATGATCCAAATATTCATAGCAGGCACGAAGGAAAGAATTCCCATCGAAACAGAATACCTCCGTTTGATCTGAGCGCTCAGGTACCTTGGCATGAAGAAAAAAGTTCAGATGGGACATTTTGTGCGTGGCCAGTCGTGTATTGTCGCGGGATGGTTTGAGGTCAAAAATGTCACACTATTACACTTTAGACATATCTTGACATTTTTCTGTTTCTTGATGATCTTCGAGTTATTCTTTCAGTCTTTGCTTTGATTTCTAGAAGATTGAATATTATTTCTTTTCCGTGTTTAGTTTGATATTGCGACCAAAATAAAGATGGATTGATAGGATATGTGAAATGTAATGTTTGTTTCATCCTACTTATCTCGTTTGGAAAAGAGTGTTTTTACTATTTTCTCAATATCATCGTGCCCGATCTCACCGAGCGAATATCCTCGAACTCTATGGCACCCCAGGATTATCTAGTCAACTTCGTGAGCGGAGGAGATGTAGCAAATGTTGAAGGATTGTTGGAAGGAAGTGAAAGGGATGGTGTAGATGAAGGTGATGGAGTGGGAATGGGAAATATGAATCAAGGCAGTAATATGGGCAATGGGAATGGGAATGGTATGGGAGAAAATAATAATGGAAATAATGGCAAAGGTCCACCAACTCCATCTCCATCACCATCTCCATCTCAGCCTCCACCTCCTCAGAATTCTGATGGCTATTCGTCCACGAGTAGTACATCGACGATTAGTTTATCTACTTCTACGATATCGACAGATACGTTGACTACTACTACTACTTCTTTTACATCTTCAATATATGCATCTACATCGATAGCTACATCGACATCTACATCAGTATCTACAACTATAAGCTCGGAAACATCAACCTCGGAATATTCATTCCTCTCACTAGCATCTTCAACCTCAATATCAATATCGACTTCAAGTCCAACACCTACACCTACACCTACGTCTACATCTACATCTACATCTACATATACATCCACATCAGACACCCCACTCGCCATCACGCAACCCAACACGCAATTCACCACGCAATCCACAAACCTCACGCCCTTCCCCACCACCCCCGCAATCCCCTCAACCCAGCATACCCGTCCTCACACTCTACCCGCCGGCTCCATCGCCGGCATAATAATCGGCATCCTCATCTTCTTAGCCCTCACCACATCCCTCCTCTTCTACTTTCTCCGGCGCAAAAAGAAAATCCAGAACCATCGAAGAAGTATTGGTGGTTTTGAGGAAGAATGGAATAGAGGAATTGAACCCATTGGATCCGGACAAGGTGGACAAGTCGGACAAACAGCTTCTCCATACAATGAAAAGAGTGAATCGGGGATGGGAATGGGAGTGGCTATCATGCGAGTATTATCAGGGAGTACAATGCGCAGTATAACTCATCATAACCGAACTGGTAGTTCTGTGTCGCAGATGCCGTTGACGTTGTCTCCATCTCCATCTCCACCCCACCCCCCCCCCCAACGCCGCCCCATAAATCAAAATTTCTCCTTCCCCTTCTCTTTTCCCTTCCAATCATCATCCACATCCACATCCTCATCCACATCCTCATCCACATCCTCATCCACATCCACATCCTCATCTACAACCCAACAATTACAACGCACCCTCCAAAACCCCAACCCCCTTCTTTCCCCCATCTCCGCCGCCGAAGAACCTAAAACTCCTATTCCATATACACCGAATATAATTGATTCGATAGATTGGATACGGGATAGGGATTCTAGGAGGGATAGGGATAGGGATAGGGATCGCGATAGGGAAAGGGAAAGGGAAAGGGAAAGAGAAAGAGAAAGAGAGAGGAATGAACAATTTATTCCTGGACTTGCATTGAGTATTGCTGGACCGGATTTGGGTGTGCGTGTGGAAGAAGAAGATGGAGAAGGAGAAGAAGAGGAAGGGGAAGGGAGATTCGATTCGAGGTATTAAGACTTCGGTTAGGGGTTATGGAACGAGGGTGGTTTTTTCATGGGGTGGATTTAATGAGTTGGATTGGATGTATCACTCGAGTATATATAAATATATATATGTGTATAAACAATTGAAAACCTTCAAATTCCCCATAGGTGTTCCAAATTTCAAGAATAAAATCATCATAATACCTCTACTTTCTACCTACAATAAATACAACCCTACCCCAACCCAACCCGACCCAACCTACAAATCAATCCACTCCAATAAATCCCTCCCATCTTTCCCCTCATCTTGTCCATCCCTCCTTCCATAAGCTCCCTCACCATCATCCCCCGTATTCGCACACTCCGTAAACCCATTCTTCTTACTCCCATCATGTGTAATCACAGCGCAGAAAATAGCAGATTGATAATCCGTCGCAATACTCCCAATAACGATACGATCGGCGCCCGGAGAAGACGGTTCAGAACCCGTGTATATTTCGCCGTTGGCGAGAATGGGGAATTCGAGGTAGGGTTTCTTGGCTGCGGGGAGGAAGGTGAATTTTTCGTAGTCTAGTTTCCATGGGTTACTTGTTAATAGGGTGTTGGGAGGAAGGATGACATGGTTTGCAAGTTTGGGAATTAATGGGTTGAAGAGTCTGTGGATGTCTTACCATTGTAGACATGGGGGTATTTGTCTCTTCCCACGGTTTTCTTTTCAGATGCGAGTTTTAGTGCTTGTTTGCATGCTGCGTCTATGGTGGCTTGATCATAGGTCGATTCGTTATCGCAGTTGCATCCAACTGGTTCGTCGTCTGCGGGATAATATTAGTATGGTATGATAGTATGCTGATGAAGAACCGGGGAGGATGCTTACAGATGGTTGCCATTGTGTATGGGAAGATGGAGATAGATTCAAACTTGCAGATTTGGAAAGATGTCAAGAGGAGGGAAAGTCGATATGTACGAAATGAGGATTTGATCAAAGAGAATTGCAATACTTACATCCCCATACTTATACTCAGCCGTCTCTATCTGCAATCCACCTACCTGCCCACAGACCTACCTTTCCTATCTTGCCTCCCTCGTACGTATCCTCGCATGAGAACATATCGTAGGATCTCGAACATGTAACAGAGTACCCGCCGCGATACCTCATGACCTGTATTTAGGTATAGCAAAGTATACCTAGTAGCGGCATATTGATAAAGAAGGGTGGTTGTCGCCGATGATTTAGCTTTTGTCCGTAGAGAGAGAACAAGAAATCAAGCTTTCGGTGAGATTCCGGCGCGCGGCCTGTTCGCTTTAGTGTGTGTTTGTGGGGTCGTACGTAGGCGTGGGGTAATTGTATGGATAAGATTTGTTTTACGATGATGACGACGATGATGAACGATAAACTGAGATATAGATACAGCTTGACTAGGAAGAGATATTGAGTTTGGATAGATTGTAAGAAGGGGTGAAAATGGTGTTTGGTTTATGTCATGTCTGTTTGTGTGTCTGTTTATGTGACCGTCAGTCTGGTTTATGAGAAAAGTCTGCAATGGTAACCTAAATGCAACGGCACGATTTCTTAGTCGCTTGGCATAGGTAACCCGACGGAGATCTACAGATCTACTCGATCGTCTCTTTTCTCTCTACACATACAAACTTGAAGATGCATTCTCAGCCGCATTATGATATCTGGCAATCCAGGAGATCAGACATCAATTTACTATCATATGCCTATTCTACACACAATTTGATGTTTATAACTCAGTCGATCGAATGATGAAGGAAGGAGCGTACATTATAGCGTACGTTACGTTCATCAGGTTACCGTAAGTTTTTTCACTTGGTGAATTCGATCAAGCTAGATAAATGAAGACTCCTTGATTTTGGGACTGACTAAATTATTTTGACCAAACATGAACTCTTAGCTTGGTGAAAGCTACCAATTGTACAGTGTACAGTGTACAGTGTACAGACACCGAGCTCTACGAGTAAGTTTAGTACTGAAAAGAACAAGGACAGTAAGTTTAGTACTGAAAAGAAGAAGGAATTAACATCATACTATCGATTAGTATGCCATACTACCATCAAGTGTGAGACAGCAATAGATTTGTGTATACATTCCCTCAATCTGCACAACATCTTCCTCCCCACAAGAAATGCTCCGATGCCACAACAGCTCAGAACACCATCAACCATGCCTAAACCTCGTACCACTAAGCGCAAGGCGGCCGACAAGTTGGGAGGTAAAGTCCCATCGAAAGGAGTTGGTCGAAAACGAGTCATATCAAATTCTAAAAGGGTCAATCCAAAAAGAAGGGAACAAAGCAAAAATGCCGCCGACGTCGTCAATACATTTCTCCATCTACCACCCGAAGTCCGAGAGATGATCTATCGTCACATAATGGTCAAGGAGAATCCAATTCAAATCACATCACCAATGGATACACTTCCAGACAAACATCCCGAGAAGAAAACTCGCACTCCGCTCAAAGGTGGACTCGCCCTTCTCCAAGTGAGCAAAGCAATACATCATGACGTTGCACAATATTTCTACAAGCACAACAATTTCGTCATTGGATCTCCTGTTAAACACGTGCAGCATGCAGCTCGCTTCATAAAGAGTTGTAGATCGAGTATTAATCCCAATCATCACGGACTACAATCATTTCTCACTCGTGTACCACGGTTCTATATCAATTGTATCAGAGAACTTACGATTGTCACTTCCGTAGCTATTTTGACAAGATCACATTATTGTGGTATTTGGGGTTATCCGGGTATAGCCACATGTCTAGAACACTCCGTACGACATCATCTTCCTCATAGTATCATGACACATTTTCAAAAAATGACAGTTGTGGCACTAAAACGCTTTCCCAGTCTACGAGTAGCCAATCTCATATTTACGGATTCTGAAGACGCGAGAGATGATGGGCCGGAGTGGGACTACTGGTCTACGGAGAAAAGTCTGGCCAATTCTTTTGGCAATATATTGCATCATGATAACCTGAGAGAAATCAACTTGAAATTGGACTTGAAGGGTCAAGCACCTCATTTTCGCTTTTGCTCTAGGCATCGAATGGATTCTTCTCATACCTTTTATGTCATTGAGAAAGCAATGAGGATGGCTGTGAAGGATCAAGATGGTTTATGGACATCCCCTGAAACGGATGGTGATGAGAGTAGTCTTGCTAGGGGTATTCTACTTTTAGAGTATCGGGGTGAAGAAGGAGGTGAGAATATAGATGCAAATAGGACTTATTTGTGGAAGATATCTAGGGAAGATTGAAGGAAGGATAAGGAAAGGATAAGGGAAGGATGAAGGAAATCAGGTAGTAAATTGAATAATCATTCTAGGGATATTAAGAATGTAAAAGAGGCAAAAAATATCTCCTCAATACCAGTATCATGATGAATGAGTGTTTATCAAAACACTAATTCGATGTATACAAACAAATTAAATTACCTAATTATTAATAGTACCTACGTAAGGTTAATAAACAAAAAAAATAACACACAATACAATCGTGTCTAGCTCATCGTCTCTAAGGTTTCACCATATTAATCTGGCAACGATTGGAAAAGGTAAAAAGTTTTTACATTGAAAGTGGAGTATAAAATCAAGCAAGCTATCGAATGAAGAATATTTCTGTGAAGTTTGTAAGTTTACACAAACTAATTAGCGAATTTCCTTCCTTTTTCCCCTGAACATTTCTAGTATGTCTAATATTTCTATACATTGTTGATGCTAAATCTTAAGTCTTAGGTCTTAAGTCTTACAATCACGTATCATATCTCTTAAACTGGAACTATTCAATTTTAATTCCTACCGAGTAGTAGTGGTAGTGATAATTTGTAAAGGAAGGAAGGAGTGGATTAAGTTAACGTAAGGCCTTATAGTTCTGTGCTGGATTTATAATTAGATGCTTTTTTGTTATTGTATTATATTATATTTGCCTTCGATAGGTCGGGAGGTTATGGATGGAGAGATTCTTGATAATAGTTGTAGATGTCTTGGTATAAATGTTCCTCTTTTCGACTCACACAAAGTCTTTAAATGCCATGCTGGATTTATCACTGAATCCTGCTGTTCATTCTGTATTTCCAGTCCCGTAAGGTTACGCCTGATCATGAGGATTTTGGATAACTTACTCAAATTGTCCGTAGAGTTCCATGCGAAATAAGAATGCCATCTAATATCAATTCTCTCTTCTTTCACAACCCTTATTAGTCAGTCGATGTAGCCCTCAAAAAACTCAGTTTGGAACTTATCGTTCAACATTTCGTCATTGTGTGCTTTTGACCCTTTGCATTGCTACGGTCTTGCCTTTCTCACTGATAAAATTGGCACCTAATGACGTCCCCAAATCAAATTCAACAATTTTCGAAGTCTATCCAAGCGTGTCCTTGACTAGGAAGCATCACTCTCGTATTCTCCGGCCACTGCTTTGGAATTGATATCTAACTCATCGATTTCTTGAACGTTTAGTTAATTATATCAGCCGGAATTTCTTGATATTTCACGCGGCATGTCGTGTAAATATTTTTACCATAGGAGCCCAAAACCAATTTAGATTCCTCTACTCTGTACTTTGAGAATTCATTACCAAGCTGCGTACGCATCGTAGTTGGATAATAACTCGTCTTGCATACTGGATCTGCAAACTATGCGATATCAGATCCCCTCGCTCTTCCGCGGTCTCGATATCCAGTGGATTCTCCTTATCGCATGCTGTGAGTAGTTTCCATGTAATACGATAATAAAAGGTGTACCTTACTTGTCTTTGAATTCCTCCCCAACACTTTTACCACATACGTATGGCTCATCAATTTCGTATGGCCTATTGTAACTCACTCTGTGTTTGAATCACCTTCATTCAGTTCTCGAATCTCCATATCCAACATTCATCATAGCTTTCTTTCAAATCTTGAGGAAGATCCCATGAAACAAAGATACAAGGTTGTAACTCCATTTCTCAACAGCTCATCCACAAACTCACTATAATATTTCAAGCCATGTTGATTAAAAGGGTCACTTTCGCCTTCTAGGAATAATCCGCTGCCAAGAGGGCAAAATGTCGATGTATAATGATGCCAACATCTTCAATTGTTTTGCAGTAGGAGGAAACCGCATCGTGACAGATACTGGAATCCTTAAGCTGCCGGGAGTATGGCCAAATATGGCCTATATGAAGATACATTTTGATCGAAATTCATGCTCCTTTTTCTTGGAGAGTTGCATTTTCGTAGCCAATATGAAAACCAGGACGCCAGACGTCTCTGAGATCTAGGAAGTTTTCTAGTTTGGGCATTTTAGACGCCATGGTAACCTTAATCTTATTTGAGGTTTGTGTTTTCGATGATTTTTCGGTTGTACAGATGAAGCTTGAATCTGTAACCTAAAGGTTAACGCAAAATTTTCCCATTACGTCCGAATTATTGCTCTTATGTTATCCAACAATCATCATGAGCATTCACCCTCACTTACACCATGAATTCTATCACCGTCACGTCTTAAGGTTATTCAAGCTCCACAATCATGGCGGGTAAGGTTAGGTTTGCCCCACATTGTTCAATTGTCAATTGGAAGAAGACAAGTTGCAAGGATCGGATGCTGGCTAAATTGAGATCACACAAGTGTGGGACTTATCGTTAGTTCTTCTGGATAAATGCCTCCATCGCAAGTTTTCAAGATAAAAGGCTGCTTGTCATGCAGTTGTGAGTTGAACGTCAGTTCTAGGTAAATTTTGGTGTGAGGAGGTACTGAGTATTTGGTGTTCAAGGATCTTAACGATTTGTGTGCATTTCAGGTACTCTGACTTGGGATCTTTCTTGGTTATCTTTCAGGAAAACATACTGGAAGATTGAAATGGTGAGTGTTCGCTGTTCTACGGAGTAACCATATGAATTACATGAACTATTGATGCTAAATCTTCCAGGCGCCTTATGATCAGTTTATATTGTTTGGTTGGTGGATCTTGGTAGATTGATGAAGAGTTCCAATACTGATGTACCACTCCACTCCAGGTGATAGTATTACCCAGGGCTCAAACGAACCTAATGGGTTCTCATTTGCATCTGCGCTTCAGCATGGTATGAATCCAATACTCCGGAATATCACTCTTGATGCACTGTTTGAGAGAAAACCCATCCTAAGTCTCGGGGTTGAAAGATTCGCTAATATTCTCCTAGCATACGCCCGAAAACTTGATGTCATAAATCGAGGCTTCAGGTTCGTTTTCTACGAATTTCCTCGGGAAAATCGCAATATATCTACTAACCAACTTCTAGTGCCTACAACACCAACCACGCACTGGAAGTTCTCCCACACTTCTTCCCCACTCCCTCTCAAGCCAAAATTCGTTTTCTAGTAAGACCTTACATTTCTACCTAAATCCAACCCAATCCACCGAAAAATCTGACATCCATCAGCTCATCTTCTTCGGCGCCAATGATCTGAACCGCGGCCCCACCGCAAATCAATATGTTCCTCTTCCCCAATTCATCCAAAATATAAAGACACTCATCTCTCATCCTCTCATCCAAGCTCACGAACCAAGAATTATACTTGTAACGCCAGCACCGGTTGACGAGGCAACCTGTAGAGTTACGAATGGTGAGTGGGGATATTCGGATGATCCTAGACGGGTGATAGATACGAGGGAGTATAGGAATGCAGTGGTGAGGATTGGGGAGGAAAACGGATTAGGCGTTGTGGATTTATGGAGTGCGTTTATGGGTGCTTGTGGGTATGTGGTTATTTGGTTGTTACTCTGCAACTTTGGAAGACGTGTTTGAGAGCTGTTAACTGACGTTTATATCCCAATAGATGGAAAGAGGGAGACGATGAGGCCAAAATGCCGGGCCTAGAAGAAAATGGCCGGGATGCTAATCTCACAAAATTACTGTATGATGGTAAGTCAGTTGATTTAAATTCACACACGAAAAGCGGAATAAAATACATTATATATACTAATTAAAAAATTCCCAGGTCTACATTTCAGCGGAGAAGGCTATAAGATTCTTTTTGAAGAAGTAATGAAATGTATTGCAGAGAAGTTTCCAGATCAAACTCCTGATAAATTAGAGAATGTTGTTCGGATGCAGTGGGAGATAGATATGGGACGGTAGATAATATATAGTGGAGGGTTTGGAGTAAGAGTAGACTAGAGTAGAGAGTAGAGTATAGAGAGTAGAGAGTTGCAACAAAGTTGTTAGAGAATTAGACACTTTTAAGAGAGCAAACCAAGTCGATCTTTTGGCAGCGTACTTGTACTCGTACAAGACGAATGGTTTACTGTTATCAGCATCAACCTATAGCAAGCTCTCAGCAATCGTTATCAAATAACTCTATACCTTCTATATCATGCAACGCACACGATAACATCTCCATAAGAATCTGGCAAGGTCGTCTTCGCAACAGCGGCTATTTCAGTCCGAGTTTGAGTTACTGTTGCGGGACACAGTCTATCCATATACCAGATGAGATGCGACCACTGGCAGTGGAACTCCCCCTGAGGTTAGAGTATATTACTACAGATGACATACAAAACTCGCGGCAATATCTAAACGACTGAACAATCTCAGTTCCGCATACAGAATTATAAGTATAGGTATAAATATAAGTATAAGTAACCAACACAGGCATTCTTCAAGCCAGCGATGAAAAAGAGTAAATAAATAAAAATCCAACATAGTTTATAATTATTCGTGGGGGCTTCAATCCTGCTGTGCCACCTACTAGAATAGTTACTCAAGGTGCGATATATGCGCGCGGTGATACTCGAGTATATCCTAGTGGATAGGTTATATAATGATTCGATGGGTGGGTTTTAGGAGGTGAGGGAGATGTGAGTGAATACCGGGGGAGTGTGAAGAATGATCGGATGGGTGGGTGGGTAGTTGAGTCGCTAAGCTTTTGTAAGGTAGCTAGCTAGCTATACGGCTCGTGAAGATGTGCAACAAAGCTCCAGAAGCGAAGGGGTGTTTTTAAGTGAATGTTGGGAAGTTGGATATTGGGATAAGGGTATCAACATTGGATATCAATGACTGACTACCGTTCGTTTCTCTCGAATGACATATGATATAAACCACGTCTGATTGTTGGAAAATAGGAGGGAAATATCCCGAGCTTGATTAATAAACTTCATTTTCCTCAAAAATGATTCGTCTCTGTCATTACTTTATCTGTGAATGCTAATATTCGACCCATGATGTATAACTAGCCTTTGTGATCCGCTCATCCACTAGATATACGGTTCAATTCACTCCGACAGCATTATTTCTCCAATGCAACCAACCGGTCCAATACCGCATCACATATATACTCCTCTATAATTCTCTAATCACCTTCCACCAATTTTCAATCCCTTAAGGCACACTAGTCCTCAACTGCACGCCATGCCACCCCTTGATCTCGTCCCCCAAAACCTTATTAACCAATCTTTGTTGTTTCAACATATTCAACCCTCTAAACTTTTCACTCACAACCTCAATCCCATACATACTCCCACATCCACCACTTATATCCTGTACTTGTAATTTTGTAGGTTGAAGCTCGCGGGATAATTTATCCCATATGTTTTTCTCTGCTTCATCGAGGTGATCTGGTGCCTGAAGTATATCTGCCGCGCGAGCTTCTTCCTGTGCGACGCCTTCTGCGCCGGCTCCGATGGTACCTTGGATTGTGGAAGATGAGTCGCTGTAGAATCTAAGATGGGATAGTGGTTTAGATGAGGGGTATAGAGCTCGGGTTCGTGGGAGAGAGCGGGGTGAATTGGTCGTGGTAATAGAGTATAAGCGGGTGTTTTGTGCAGCTGCGGCGCAAGTCTTTACGCCGTGCATATTTGAAGATCGCATAATCGAGTTACTTAGAAGAGGAGCGCGAGTTCGTAGACAACGCAGGCAGGAAAGGGCGGAATTTTCCATGTTTTGGAGGGGTGGTTTAGATCCAATTGGTGAGATTTAGGAGGGAATGCGAATAAGATTGCTGGAGGGATGCAATGATAATATCGGCGCTGTTGGATTCGAACAGAAACTGCTGGATTATATGGGCGAATGGTTGCTTATTGTTGTTTAACAGAATTGCTTTGGTTTAAATATTTATCTAGTATTGTAGTTATATCTCGAGTAATTTTCCGAGGTTCATGATTGATCAGCATCATACGCCTTGATTAGTCATCACTCTCCATATTTCGACGGGCACCAATAGAAGCCCATTAAATGTCAGCACATCCAAAATATTTCTTATTCTTTGATGTAAATTCATCCCATGGTAACTGACAGTTATCATAAGCCGTGAAATCGATACCTTGGATATATGCACTTTCTTGTTAGGCACCATGATTCAAATTTGGGAAGCCCAAACGATGGAAGTATCTTCGGTGGTAAACCTTTGATGAGATGATGAGGTCTGCATTTGGGTTTCGGCATACCGGCTGGCCTGTTACTAAAACGTGGGCTCCAAATTCGATGACTTCACATTGTCCCATGTTTTTAGCCCGGTCCTTCTTAGAATGACTAGTGTCCATTCCCTCAGACGTTCTATTAGAAAATTTGAAGTGATAGGCTTAGGGCATTTCTTGCTCAACCCAACTCAAATATTCGGTTGAACATGTAGCCACAACTATATGGTCCCGGGTGTGGTCTTCTATGGCAGGAAGGTTGGAAGCCGAGCCTTCCGACCTCTCGCGTTACAGCAAGCAAACTCACAAGTAATAGTTTGCGCTTCCGCATGTATCCTGCCAATTTCTGGCTCCTTCATGCCAACGGGTTTTGAGCAACTTAGTTCCCGAAGCCTCACATTATAGCGTTAACTATCATCACAACAGTCGATTCATAGCTGGATGACGTTACTAAGGATCTTCTTCCAGTAACTAGATTGTTTGCAGGTAAGTGTAAGTATACCTACTCTCATTCTTGCCCAAATGTCGACTTCAATTCAACACTAGATTTCCACTTAGACTGAAGGAAAGTTTCCCTCTGATTAACCTCCTCGTTTTTATTTGAACTGAGGATTAGAAATTTTTCAAAATTCTATATCAAGACACTCTTGTCCAAGAATCTTTCTTTTCCCGTCAGTTCAACAATGTTTCCTCATTACAATTTCTTCGTACCCGAACTAAGAAACCTGTAAAGATAACATCTATTAAACAAACCATGAATGTTATTAAGCTATCAATGGGATACAACCAGGCCTTGAGTCTCGAACAAGTGGTCGAGATAGCAATTGCGAACTATACCCGCAATCGTGCAGTAAGTCAACCTGAGTTTCTTCCTTTGAGTATGACAATAAATCTAAGTGCTAATTACCTTCGTGTAGACAGGAGCTCTTCAAACTCAACATGGCTCCTATTTTGGTCAAGGATATTCTTTTGAAAGACGTCATGTTGAAGGGGACAATGACGTGGATGTCTTTCCTCTTCCGGAATGTGAGATGCCAGCATGTGGAGGATTCTGCCATCTTTATTTTCCTGCCAGTGGCAGCATTGAAGAGACCAGAAAACCAGAGGGTTTCTTGGGGGCACGGGAAGATAAGAGAGAAGGTGGCACGGCGCGTTCCTTGAGAGAGACTCTTCGTTCGGAGCCTTCGATGTCGAGCTCAGACCAGTTGAATGTTGACTCTGCATATTCTTCATGGCATGGGTCACAGAACATGGACTCTGACAAGGAGGAGGATCTAGAGTTCGGTTGGCGAAAAGCAGACGAGAAAGAGGATGAGGAAGATGGAGAAGAGAGCGTTGAAGAAAAGGAGGAGGGAGAGAGCGAGGAGGAGAAAAATGGTAAGGAGAGGAGGTTGACGAGGAGAAGAGGGTAAGGAGGAGAAGAGGGTGAGGATGATGAGTGAGCAGAGGAAGCCATCGTTTTTGGCTCGACTCAGCTACTATTCAGGATCGTATTGCTAGGGCTCGCTCCGAGTTCCTTGAGCTTCCTTCAGAATTCGCTTTCTGGGCTGGGAATACGGTCTTTGACCTCCCGAATGCAGTCCAATAATTGGAAGCATTCTTGGTCGATTCTTGAAACCATTTGAAGGATTAAAGCTGTTCGAGTCATCGACCCAATCTTGGTGCTTTACAGCTTCTCAAATATTCGATGATATAATTTATCTGATAGCTTGGAGTTTAGGACATGCTGAGCTGGCTCTTGGTGTAGGGGTTACGGAGTTAGGTGATTGTGGCGAATTTTATTTTCTGTTTACACTGGTTGATTTGGGTCTCCGGCGGGAAGACTGATATATCTTCATTACACTTTTTATGTAATGAGAAACGATAGATTTTTCCATGAAAACATCTTAAGTATGAACGCCTGAGCTCGAGTGAGACAATCATTACTGTTCAACCATTAGATCACAGTCTGTTTAGTGGTCGATCTATTCAATAACTTCTCTTCACTTGTCATATATCCATACACATCGATCAAGCAGTGACCAGTCGTATTTTCATTTCTAAGATCCTCCTCCCCATTACTGTTGATAGTGTCGTACTTAATCTGGAGGTCAGGCATATATGTGGATGAGTGCAAAACTACGTGCAGATGTACAATGTCGCACTTCCTGTATAGTAATAAAATTGACCAGAATTTTTATTAAGATGGGTGTTAGAATCTCATATTTGTTTCCTACCACTATAGGTAAGTAGCATAGACTACAGATTTGGATTGACCTAGTGATCAACATGTACATGCAAAAGTTTATCCAACAGTTATTCGCCACTCTGTTTCATTTACAACTCTTTCCTGATGGTGGAAATTATTAGTTTATTGCCACATGCAAAGATGAATGAGTTTCAAACACGTTAATCTTCAAGTCCTATCACGCAATTTTGAGAGGTTATAAATGCAGTCAGAAAATTGAATACTAGTCAATCTAGCTCAGGATATATTCTTTGAATATAGTATATAATGGCAAGAGGGCATTGTAGGCCGCATATAAACCCTCGCCAGATGCATATGTATGTTTCAAAGGTGATATATCTCATGCATTTGATTCCATATCTAGAAAAAATAGCTGCTTCCTGCAATGCAAACTACGTCTTCTATATCCCTCATATTGGATTTATCCCATCGTATCATCTCGACATCTCTTTGAATCTACTCTCAAGATTTAAATCCTCTTATGCTTTGCTTGTGGGTAGTATCCGGTGCATTTACTATCTTTAAGTTTTCCCAACAACACTATAACCTTTTCATCGCAAGTGTGCAGTAATACGAACGCAAAAAGTCATTTCTTACTTTAAACTAATGCTTTTGGAGAAGCTCTGCAGAATTCGTGCATTTGCATACATGACTAGTGCACCAACTGGGTTCATGCAGCTATTCATGCAGTCAGTTAATTACTCAAGTAGTTTTCCAAAGCGTCTTGGCATAATACATCTTTATTCACCAATCTCACATGCGCCTAGACAAGTGTTCTCCTTAACAAACATCACAACGCGCAATGTGACATCGTCGCCGCAACCGAAAATGTTCATATTGAATAAATAGATGAACATGTGGGGTCTCAAGACCTACATACGTGGTTCATGTAAGATACGTGGTCACGCTTCTGCACGTGAGTGAGGGGTGCAGTGCAGGTCGCCACAAGTGGGGATGGAATACGTGGTTCTTCATTGTTTGGCTTGAAATTATTAAACTTTGCGAAAGCTGGGGTGAATCGATATGTGTTTGAATTTTGTTCGAGATGTGTTGAGCTTGGGCATGAAATTTTCTTTTTTGCCGATGAAGATTCGAAGAGGAATCTGGAATCTGGAGTCTGGAGTTGTGGGGAATGAGACATGCATGACGGGAGTATCGGTTGATGGAGGTGGATTCTAAGGGTTCTTTGTCGGTTTTGGGCTGCGATTTATGTGCCTGAATAGATTATCAGGTTTGGAATAGAAGGAATTGTTTTGGCTTCAAGTTGGCCATGCGCAATTGCGATGATGGCTCTAATAGGGCTAATTGTAAACTGGTATGTATCGACGAGACTCCGGTGTAAAATGATGATTCTAATCCTGCCTGAAAGACATCATACGTTCGCGAGAGGTCGCTCGGTACAAATCACTGATTTACGTATGCGTAGACCAGTTCGTTCATTATGATATAACGATACGCCGAAAGGTAAAGGGTAAAGGGAGATACATCCCTTCTTGGGAGTTAGTATCAAACCAATGGGTGTTCATCTGTTGAGATGTGGACGATTTATTGGATGTAGTACTCAAAGAGCATTATGAGAATGCCAAATCCCCAACATCTGACAGCCACTTGGACAATTACTACGAAGAAGGATCTCATTGATGATCAGAGAAGTGGTATACACTGGTCTACTTTCTCTACGTCACAAACAATGCGTCATACCATAAGAGCTAAAAGACCCTCCTTGCATCTAGATCCAAAACAAGTAGTACCCCTATGCAAATTAATTTCAAATCCCTCTTCTTTCCCTTTCACATCGTGATCTATACTCATAGTCCCACAGTATTGTCTCCCGGATTACATATATTCATTTATGTCTTCTCCCGCAAAATCCCCCAAAAATCGTCACCGACATTCCCCCTCAATTCTCGGTCCAAGCACGTAATTCCCATTTGAGGACCCTTAAACCAGGGCTGAAAAATCCCGCAATACTCTAGCACTGCACCCCGCCTTTCAGAACCCCACAACCAATTTCTAAATAAAACCATCATGTCGTGCGACAAGACTCAGAGTAAGTCACAAGATTACACACTCCTGCAAAAGACAACCAAGCCTCAAATCTCAGGAAAAAGTGAACATAGCACGACTAGACCACAGCCTTTGCCCACTAAGCACCCCAATATCGATTTTCAAACAACCCCGAATCAAATTCTTTATCCTGGTAAATATCTACGCCAGATCTTCGGAGCTTATGTGTTACATTATAGCTCATTGCGGGCGGAGTTCTCAATGGAGTGGCGGAGAAAATGGATAATAGATATTGCTTACTCCGCGCGGGGTTTAAGGGCTAGGCTTAGATGAGTAAGGTGGCTCCGCGCGGATATGGTATTTTAGCATGTAAATGTAATTTCGTGGACTTGTGTAATAGAATGGTGACACAAGGAGGACTTGGGTTTTCTTATGCTTTTCCTAGTCTCTGAAGCTTTTGTCCCCTTTAAGGTTAAGATGACTCGGTTGTGAAATAATGCAGTGACTTTACGTATTTATTCTGTGCGAATATATATTTATATCGTTATTGTGGTACTAGCTCGATATATGTTCATCATTCGAGACTAATTTGGTAAAGGTTTACTGAGAGATGAATTCTACTGAATACTCATATCCCGAGACAGTTCTTAATCTTATAGACGGAACTCCTGGGGTTTTTCGAGTGGAAAGCGGAAGATAGGGAGATAGCCTACTGTTCCACCATGTGGCGTCTATAATTGCTCCGCTATGACTTCCCTCGGAAGTAGATTTAAAGATACAGATATATGTGTCTCTGGAGTAAGAACTAGCTATACAAAAGTAGTAAAAAAGCAACAAATTTAATTTCAAGACTGCACTACTTTATTCTTTCCTGCGCTAAATTGTTTATGAAAATCTTTAAGTTAGGAACAGTTTGATAGTACCGCTCCGCTCCTCCGAGAACCCAGATTTAAATTCCTGAGCACTGCACTCGTGATGAGTTATTAATGAGGTCCTTGGTACTTCATGTTCTTGTGTGAAATACTCGCATTCTAGTAGCACTCACTATACATTCTCCGGACTGGAAATGTGAGTATCCCTCAAAAGGGAATTTAAGGCCGTCCTCATCGAAAGGAGTAACAGGAATAAACGATTCCGCTCCACCCAATCCATTGCGGAGGTATCCACGAAAACAAATTGAAACTTTTCAAATTGGGAAGTGCTAAAATTGTGCAATGTCGAAGAAAGATAAAATGATGAAATACTCGGGTCTCTACTCTGCATTTACCGTTCTCATTCCAACCATTCCAACCCCTTTCTCTCCGGCCTCAGATATCGTACCCTACCATATCCCATTCCATCCCCACAAACCACCCCAAACAACCAACCCATACAACCAACCCACACAACCGTACGATGAAGCTCCTTATCCTCTTAAGTTTACACCTCGCCAATCCTCCACTTATAGCTTTATCACTACTCATTCTTGTATTTCGACATTTACACTCGCTTTCCTCTGTGTTTTCATTCAATACTCCACCAAAGAGAGAGATGAGGAGTGTTGTACTCGTTACTTGAATATTTGGGTTATGATAACGAAACATGGAACTTGATAGGTTTTGATAATGGAAGGAGGTAGGGATAGGATGTGATGTGATTGAGGTTTCTGTATTTGTGTTATTTTTGATGCTGTTGGGTATTGGATAGAATGACATGGAGTGGATATTTGAGATTGAAGATATATACGTGGAAATAAAAGCTATGAGAATGGTTTGTAGGGCAAATTTAGTAGTGGGACTGTCTGTTAGACATATTTTTATCGTTATAAATGGATGTTTGAGGAATTTACTGTATGTGTGTGATTGCAAAAGGTTGGAGATAGAAAAGTATAACCATCATCATATTCCAGCTGGGAGTTTTGGATTTTTCCATGACACTTGCTCATATTTGTCGATGATAGTGTTCGTGTTTCTTGTGAAGAAGATTGAAACCCTTGTATATCATTTCATATCACATACACATGAATACTTATCCTTCATTCGCAGCTCACACCCAAGATCCATCATTCCCCGTCCGAACCTGTCTCTTCATAAGCCCAGTCCACTCAACCATTCAGTTCACTAGAACATTACTTCTTCAAGCCCCTTACCTCCACATGACGGAGAATCCAACAGTTGCAACTCAAGCCTCAAACCTCACTTCACACTCACACCAAAACCAAAAATTTCCTCACAATTTCGGTCAGAATGCAGTCCTCGATTATAAATTTGACAACCAATATTAGAGAACGAAAGACATTTACCAAACCACCTATATCAACTCTACCCCTATCAAATCTCTCTCATTCATCTCGCTAGAGACTTACTCCAGATCCCAAATAAGTTTTCATAACCCAGCAGCGAGCATCAAAATCATCCCTCGAAACCACTATGCATTATTCATTATCCGGTCTAAACGTATTAGTCCTTTCATATCAACTGACACCGCATTAGACATTGAGATAAATTCCTCTCAACAGCGGGGCCAACAAGACAAAAGACCTCAAAAGGAAAAACAAAGGAAAATAAAAAGTAGATAAAAGAGACACTCCGCTCTTCTACATATAACGCATAAATAATGTCGTCATAATATCCTCCACTTCTTTCTTCTCCGTATATCCGTATATCTGATAACACGAAGCATTCGTCTCCACAAACAATCTCTCATAAGCCAACCCAAATTCCTACCGATTTATTCTCGGTGCCCAATTCTCTTCCCCGAACCCCGTAAATTTAACTTTCCGTCAGTCACATCACATCATCGCTAGTAGCTATTCTGACAGTCTGACTAGCTACCTACTGTATAGTGCTATCAGGAACTATACGATTACTTCGTAAGTGAATGACACTTCATCCATCTAAATACATCAATTACTAATTGGGAATCCCGTGTAAGATCTTAGTTATCATCTTCCGGTATGTGTTTCATACTGCACAGTGAAGCGTGATATATTTTATCCCCGCACGAGTAACCTCTTCTCTCCTCCCGATATCAATCTTGCACTCCACTGTCTAGATAAAAAGATAAAAGAGAAAAGAAACACGGAACAAGATATCAATCCATTTTCCCTCCATCCGAATTCGGGATTCCATCCCCTTCGCGTCAAGGCTCAAACAAGCACATCGACATCCATCCACTCACATCCGTCCATGCACACCCAACCATAACCATAACCACAGTAACCTACTCGAGCTCCACTCCACTCCACTCCACAGATCCACCCGAACCGCACCCTATAGCAATCCAAGGGCACACCCATCGGCATTCACAAGCGAAATCGAGAAATCGAGAGATTTTGCAAGATAAATCTCAAATGATCTACATTTTTCCGTTTCATATTGTAAGTATTTGACGTCATGTTACTTTTTTTAGTGTTGTCTTGTGTCTTGCATCTAAATCTTGCATCTGATAAATCTTGCATGTAATATAATCTGTAAGTAAGCTATAGATTGGTTGGATTGGTATATATCCAAGGCTAACATACTCGCGTAAGAATGGATCAACTGTTAGACTTAAGGATCTTGGGGAGAATAAGCTTACTCTGTGATATAGATTAAAGGGAAGAAAAGAAGGAACGAGATTACAGTACAGGTAGAACCTTGTTATACCGGATATAAAAAATCAGGTGTATCAATCTGGTATATTAAGATTCAAATATTAAGATATTGATGAATTTATTTTATATTTTATATTTTATATTTTATATTTTATATTTTATATTTTATATTTTATATTTTATATTTTATATTTTATATTTTATATTTTATATTTTATATCTTTTCTATTTATATAAATCTCTTATACTTATTTATTTATACTCTTTTCACTCAATTCTTCTCTCAATCACCCCTTTCCTCAATCCTCAATCCTCAATCCTCTATCCTCTTACCTTTTCTCAAATTCCACTCTTTCACTCCTTCCCTTTATCACTACCTATCATTATCATTATCATCAGATGGTCCCTCCTCCTTTCCAACTCCACACTCCCCTCCTCTTCCTCATCCCACTCCTTAATTTACCTTTACTTCTCCATCACTTTCCTCCCTCCCTTTAAAACACCAAACTCCTACTCAAACTGAAAAGTATCCCTATCCCTATTCTTATTCTTATCCTTATCCTTCCTTCTCCTCTACCCCTCCCCGCTTTCAGAATGGAAAAAAAATGAAAATAAAACATAATAAAGAGATCAATAAAAGATGAGAAAAATAAATGTAATATCTTCATTTTATATCTCTCCCCTCTCCCTCTTACCTTATTCTCCCATCTTCTTCTTTTAATAACTAATAACCAACAACCAATAACCAATAAATCCATACTATATCCTCAATTCCCTATTCCCTAACCCCAATTTCCATTTATCATCTCTCCTCCTTCTTTCCTTCCTTCCCCTTACACCCACCCTCCTTAACCCTAACCCTAACCCAAAATCCAAACCAACAATATCCAATCCAATCCAATCCAAACCCTCCCATTTCATAACCCCAACTCACAACCAAAATCCAAATCCAATCCCATCACATCCATCCTACATCCCACATCCCACATCCCACATCCCACATTCACACAGCATCTATAAAATCCCTCCCCTCTTCCCTCGCTTACCACTCACCCATACCAGTCACCCAGAACCCCTCTACTTCAAACCACCCAAACAAATCCATTTGAAACCCCTAATCTTTCTTCCCACATTCCATCTTCCTCACCATACAACCCATCCCCAATCCCCAATTTTCCCACCCTAATCTACCCGAACCCTACCAACTAAACCCATTGATCTACATCCATCCATACATCCATCCATACATCCATCCATACATCCCCCCCTCGTTCCTCGGTGTAATTAATTAATTACAACGGTTTCTTGCAGATCACTTCTCATCCTCTCATCCTTTTCTCATATTCTGACATCATAACTCCATACATACCCAATACCCATACACTTACCCCTCATCATATTCATTCACTCACTCGAGTACATATAAAGTATTCATTGCCACACTTTCAATCTTTACAATCATCATACACTCAAAAAATTTAATATGATGGATTTTTTTTTTATCATTCATTTATCATCTCAATCTCAAATGATTCCCCCTTGGCCTTTGCTTGACTTTTTTTATCTTTGCCTTCAGCTTCACCTTGACTTCATCATATCCTTCTCTCAATGCTTGATTTTTCAATCCATGCACGCATGCCCAAAATCCATTCCATTCTTTATCATCCACCACCTATTCCATTCGAATCTACCATATGATTTTTCCTCACTGGTTAGTTCTTCCAATATCTCTGGAATTCCCCAAATCATCCTCGACTCCCCCTCCCCCAAAAAAGAAATAAAATAACCATCATTTTGTATGAACAAAGTATCCACCATCCATCACCATTCCACCTACCCTCCCGTATATGCCAGGGTCCCCTCCATCCATCCAATAATAAATATAACTTTTTGGTTCTCCCCCATTCATTCTCAGCCTCCTACCGTCAATCCGATGAGGTACAATAACCAAAGGATCAATCTTTCGTTTCCCATAAAAGAAAAATAGAGAGGTCATTATCTCTTTGATATTCTCAATCAATGATTGAGAAAATGATTTGCCCCCCCATTCCCCCAAAGCAGATAACTCCAGAATCTATGATGACCGGGTTCATTCGAAATTAGAACAAACCAATTGAATCAGTAGTAGCAGTGCGAAAAAATAAAGGACATGCAAGAAAAGAAAAAGCAACCACCCAAAGAAAAAAAAAAAGGAACGCTAAAAAGTACAAGAGCAAAATGTAAAAGCAAGAGGATCATGAGACATGATCATCTTTCCCTTCATTCGCATGCTGCCCAAATATCTCCCTTCGCAAAAATGCTAAACAAATATGAATTGAGAAGGCCGTGTTCGTGAGGAGAGAGATATATTAACAGTCGAAGAGGAAAAAGGTTGGTAATGGATCGAGGAATCACAACTCAATTAAGAGGTGATTGATCCGCCAAGGATACGAGAAGTATCTTTCGATAGAATTAGATTTTCGTTTCATGATTCGATTATTCATGATCGTCATCGTAAATAGGTTTCATTTGTTGATTTGACAATTTGATCAAAAGAGTTTCATTCAACCTCGAATTGCTGTTGCTGAATGAGTGTCGTTGAACGGAAAACCACCATGCATGTGGTAAGGATACATCGGAGACGTACCCGAAACAAAGCCCGTCATAGGAGCAGGCGATGTGGAACGAGTACCTTCAGGGCTTGCCCCATGAGAGGAAGATCGATGATTCATATGTGGCATTGTGATTGGTGAATTGCTAGCCGTTGAATCGACGGAACCAAACAGGTAGCCATCATCATTATTTCCATCATATTGACCAGATCTCGCAGTACCATCTTTCAATTGTGGCGAGTTCTTCACTGACCCAAACTATAATACAATATTCAATTAGCTTAATCCCTTTACTATGCCCAGTGGTGTTCGTTGGTACGTACGAAGCAATACTTGTCGAGAAGTTCATTGTATGATTGTGACGCCAGTACAGGCTTCTCAGTACCAACGGGTCTTGGCGAATCAGTTCCACTCGTGCTTGTACCCGTCGAAGGTAAAGTCTTGGATGGAGTAGAGTGGTCAAAAGTCTTTGGAGCTGACATTGAGAGTGGTGATACTTGTTCATCATGATTGATAAACTTTCTCGTTTCACTAATTGGTGCAGGTCTCTTTGACTTCATGGTGATACCACTCTTGTCACCCAGGGTAGAGTTAGCCGCACTTATAGCAGCATTAAGAGAAGCGCCAAAGTCGTATCTGTGACCAAAGGCTTGACCACCTGCAGTGTTCGTGTTTACTGTTGCACGGCGGCTGCGGTTATCAGATGCCAAGGTGACGGCAGATTTAACTCCCTTCAATCTTACAGTGTTTGAGTCTCCAAGGTAATCTGCGACAGGCAGTTTGAAGTTGGAGTTCAAATACTTGGAATCAAAGTCATTAGAGAAGTCATCAAAAGCAGGCGACTTCTTGATTGGAGCGGCTGGTGGTGACCTTTTGTTACTTCTCGGTAGTGAGTTGGTTGACCTTGATGCTGCTGGTGAGCTCTTCTTTCCATTTTGTAACTTTGCCTTCTTTCGGAAATCAATCTGGAAGTTGGTGGCGTTGTTATTATCCCAGTATTCCACACCGTTGACACAGTACTTGACACAAAAGAACATCGTCTTTGCTTCAAGGTTGGCTTGGTCGGCAAGCTTGATGTTGAAGTAAAAACGATCACATCCATCAGAATGTTTTGGTTGACGGATATCATTGTTGTATTCAGCAACAACTTCCGATGTGGTCTTCCAGTAATCCAAGGTAAATCTAGCCACGACCAACTTGTTGAATGCCAAGTTGGTTACGGCAACAGTTCCGATCAAGTTCTTGTTGTCCGCCGACAGGAAAACCCTTTCCACACGAATGGGCATGGCTGCCCGTTGGGCAGTCATCGGTGGGAAGTTGGAGATGATGATTTCCCATTCAAATGGTGGTCCTCTGTTGTTGGAGTCATCATCATGCCCGAATGGGAATTCCGAATCACTTTCGTATGATTCAACAGGAGAAGAACCAGCGCTGACGGCGAGAGGTCGATCGACCTGAAGGAAATGGCGCACATGTTCGAGGTGTGAATCAAAGTGAACCGCCTTGGAGAACGTAGGGGTACCAGGCATGGATGATGGACGCCTCTTTGCGGAGGATGGTCGAAGAGCTGGTCGAACAAGTTCTCCGGACTTCTTCCTGAGCATCTGAGGCTTCCTTCTGGCCATCTCGGCTTCTTCATCACTCAGCTCATCATCAGAACCAGTTGTAGGGGTTTCCGGTGCAGACTGGTTGTTCTGGTTGCTTCTTAGATCGAGGAAAACTGTCTCGGTGCTCGATCTCTGGTGTTGAAGCTTTCGAGGAGGTTGGGATTTTTCCATGTGCTCCGACGTTGGCTTATCCTTTGTTTCCTTTGTGTCTTTGTTGATGGGGAGAAGTGATATAGCTTGGGTCAGTCTCTCGATCTCTGATGACGCCCGGTTAGGTGAACTCTCTCTGTGTTGCTCGATGACTCTAATGGCAGCTTGTAATTCCTCCAAGTTTTCCAACTTCCTTCCTCTTGATCCATTGTCCTCTTCATCAGAGTTCTGAGTGGAATCTGGCGGTGACATGACTACTCCGATAGGCATCTTGTTGTCGTCTGTAACAGGTGGGGGTGATTGTCGAAGACTGCTAGAGGCAGTCAAGCTGCTATTTGTATCATGGCTTGGACCCTTTTCACTATCAGCCGTGCCAGGAGGGGTTGGGTCTAGTGTTGGCCCAAAAGGTGTTGATTTAACCGAAGGAGTCCGTCGATGTCTAGTGAGGTAGGAAGTGGACCTTGGCAGCTCCGGTCTTGGAGCTGAGGCATGGTGGCTAAGTTGGTATGAGGAGCGTCTCGAGACAGCAGGGGAATGAGTGGTAGAGCTGGCGGGAGACCGTTGGGAAGGTGGAGTGTAAGGCATCCTACAACGTGTAAAGATTTGTTGGACAAGCTGCTGTTTCTTTTCCTTCTTCCTCTTTGAGATGTTGGGTTGATTGATAAAACTATTCGACTTGAGGTGGGAGGGGGCTTGTCGAAAGATAGCGAACCTAGTTTGGGCTTATCATTAAGTATTGAAAAGAAGACCAATGAATCCTTGACAATTGTGGACTGTTTGTTGGGGAAAGGACTGGTCAGCTACATTCTCATTCTTGCATGAGAGAAGATGAAGTAAAAAAAGAGGATTTTAGGAAACGTGGTATGAATGTATGGATGATGTGGAGGGAGAGTATGTGTCATGTAGGTAATTTTCGCAGACAGATTGATGCAATCAAACTGATGCTACTACTGCGTGGTGATGTTGTAGATATAGGATGCTTTTTTAATTTCTTGGGGGTGGGTGGGAACTTACATAGGAAATGGAGATTTTTTTCAATACCCCAGGAAAATAGCGACTCCGGATTGGGGGAAGAGAAGTAAAAGTTCAAGCAAGATAAGAAAGAACAAATGCGTATTCCAGCTATTTCGTTCTTGTCCCAATCTGCAACGAATCCAAAGCTTCAGAAGAAAAGAGAGATTATGTTTTCGAATGGATGGAAGCAACTCTCAAGAAAGCCTTTCCAAAAAATGCCAAAACCCGAAAAATAAATAAGAATTAGAAAATAAATAAGATGGGAAAGTTTGGCTGATTGCGTAGATTTAATGTCCGGTTTCGTTCCGTAATCAAAAGAGTCGATAAGGAAAGCGGCAAAGCTTTGATTGAGGCGTAGAATTTAAGCGTTTCGAATGAGAATGTTTTGTTGGGTAATCAATCTATCTCTCGAGGGTGTCTCGGAAGTCCAAGTCAAAAAGTCAAATCCTTATTTTCGTGACTTTATCTAGAGTTTATGAATGAATCTCGAAGTTCGGATGGGTGGAATGGGACTGATGGTCTTTTTCAATATCTTCAAACGAAAGGCAATTTCGAGGGAGAGGGATACGCAAGTGGTGTGTTTTGGATGAGGTGATGGATGGATGCTTTGATATCGGAAGTACGGCGTACGGTGTACGGTGATGTATTGTGAATGCTTGCTTGGGTGCTGGAATGCTTGACTGATTGATTGATTGTCTTGTAAATTATTACCGATCAATCAAAATAGCAACAGCAAAACGATTAGCTGACTCAATTCTTCCTTTTCCTCAGTTCGATTTCGATGTTCTTCGTAGAAATAGCCCTCTCGAAAATAAAATAAATATTTAGTCGATTTGATTGTTTGCTTGTTTGCTTGTTCCTCGAAGAATAAAGAAAGAGGGAATTCTCGGATATGGGGCGATGATAGGTAGGTGGTTTTCAATAGGTTGAAGCCTTGAAGGAGATGGATGGTCTGGTCAAAAAAGGCTGGCTTGGGTTGGCCTAGAATGAAATTATTTGTATGGGTGGGTGCGTGTGGGAGGATGGGTGGATGGATGAATGGATGGATTGATGGATGGATGGATGGCTTGATGGATGGATGGCTTGGGTTGGCGTGGAGGGTAGAAAAAAGCGGGATGGGTGGGTGGATCGAGGTGATGAATGAATTTGAATGGGGATGTCAGGCCAAGACAAGAGACCAGGTAGGTAAGGTAGGTAGTAAGGTAAGGTAGGTAAGGTAGGTAAGGTAGGTAAGGCAAGGTAAAAAATGATGGTAAAGTAAGCTAGCTAGAACAGCTTGCATTTAAAGAATGAAATAATTATTCAGTCGAGCAGTCAAGCAGTCAACTAGGCCAATCGAAAGTTGGAGAAGGAGGAGAAGGAGGAGAAGGAGGAGAACGAGGAGAAGAAAAAAAGGAACAATCTAAAAGAATCTAAGAATCAAGAGGTTCAAAAAAGTGATTAACCAGGATGCTGAAAAATAGCCTTGATATATACAAAGTGGATTTGACGGATTGGAAGGGTTAGAATGGATTTTAGTGGATTCTTTTTTGGCTTACGATGGCTTAATGCTTTTGCCTTTGCTTGGCCTAGTTGAAGTGAATTTTGAATTGATGCATGCTGGACTGGGAATGAGGGTTGGAGTGGGAGGAGAGAGAGGGGTTCGAGAGGGGAGATGTCAATGGTTAGTTTACAGGTTAGAACCTTGAATATGGTGGTGAGTTGAATGAATGGGAATGGTTGATCGATTGATTGATTGAACTGGTTGATGCTTGTTCATTGTTGATGCTTTGGATATTACCCATTCTTCATGGGTGGGTGGGGTTGGATGGATTGGACTGGATTGGACTGGATTGTCTGAATTGGATGGGATGTGGCTTTGGTTGTGTGTGTGTGTGTGGCACCGGCATTGTATGGTATGCATTGATACATTTCTAAAATGCTTGACTATTTTGGCAAGAGGTAGAGTCGATCCCGGATTCTATCAAGGTGAAGTGAGGTTATTGGAGATAGTACGTGTGTTGCTGGAAGGCGCAAGGCGGAAGGTGGAAGACGAAATACGACAACGGGTCACATCGGGGTAGAAAGAGACCCTACTCTCACTCTCACTCTCACTCGCACTCGCACTCGATTCTGCTGCGACGGCTGTACATCAAAGGCGGGTTAGGAAATCATATCATCTCATTTCATTCATTACTACCTCACACTGGGAGGATGACAGTGAAGACGGGTTAAAATGAATACACGGAGTTATCAATTGCCTCGAACTTGCCTTAGTTATTATTACAGGGTTTATATATTATATGGTAAAAAATCATTGCATCGACATCAAGGTATAAATCAAGTTTTTACCCTATCTCTCAATCTATTCTAAATCAAGTAGTGTTGAAAAGATGGACGGTCGTTATCCCGCCACCTCATTGGACAGATGACTATTCCCATCTCAATCTTTATTCTCCTTGGCCTTTCCCTTTGAGCCCCACTTGATCAACAATGCCTCTCTTTTTTAACCTTCCAGAGAAATGGTACGAGAGCGGCAGCGGATGGATTCAAACGTACGTACTGTACTGCGCATAAACATTTCAAACTCCTTGCGGAAATGAGGGCATTAAAGATAAAGCTAGCTTAAGTGCTGCTTGCATCTTCTAAAACATTTGACGCCGATTAGAGTTTGTAAAGCATCTCCCTATACCCTACATGATCTGTGTGTCTCCTCCCATCAAATAGTGGATACTGTTGATAACCTTTTATACCATACCTTCATACCTTTCATACCTTTCATACCTTCATAGTTGTTGGATATTCCCTACGTTACATTGATATGTATGTATGAATGTGAATGCATACATGTTCGCCATCCACTACCTAACCAACCTATCTAGCCAACCTATCTAACCAACCTACCTAACCTACCTATCTACCTACCCACCCACCCAAACAACGACCTAAATATATTAAACTCATCAATCACACTTCCAAAACGAATACATCTCATTCTCATCGTCACCTTTTATCCCTAAAAATCCCCACATCGTAAAGGAGTATCTCTACCTGAACTACTGTATGAAAACAACTGTCTGTCATTCAATCATTGGATCACGACCTAAAATGCTATGCGTGAAAGAGGATATCTTGACTCCATTCGAAGAGTTGGCAAAAGAGGGGAAGTCTGACTTGGATCCATACCATATGCACATTTACGTTGTAACGAAACTTTCCACATAACTCCTTGATCAATTCCATAGGGGAGACTCAGTTCCTCATCCTCATCCTCATCAACCTTGATTTGACTGTCATGTACCGAATCTGATTGACTTGATAGTCTCATGAACCGGTTCATCTAAGTGTTCGCACTATCTGTTTATTCCCTCACTCATCACATAGTCGTTTGAAGATTATTACAAATTAAATGGTAATCATGCAAATCGTCGGTCTCGGTCAAACTTCAAATGTCCATTCACGCCAAAAGTTATGAAACATACTTTTCGACCATCATCGATAAACTTCACATCAACGACACACACAAATCCAACATGTATTTGAATTCTAGACCACAATCCAAGATTGACGGGAAACCTTCCCATTTATTCTCTAAAAATAAGTTAATAATAAATAATAAGAATAATCCAAATCATCTCCATAAAAAAGTGTACAAGGCATTTCCGATGCATTCTCTTCAATGCCCCGTCATCAAAATAAAGTCTACAATCTCATTCGTCCACAGAAAGTCCCCGGTCCAAAAGATTTTTCGAACAAGGATTCGTTTAACTTCCCTGACACAACCCTAGCTCATGCATAGAAAATCCTTGACCTGCGTGTGTGCCATTGTGGCTTAACTTCCCTGAGCTTGGCGTCAATTATGCATGTTTGAGTAAGGAAGGCGTAATAAGATTTCGACTTTCAAGAGAGGAGAAGGAGTGTACGATATGATCATACTATAATACTGTATGTATGTATGTATGTATGTATGTATGTATGTATGTATGTATGTATGTATGTAGGTATGTATCAAGTAAAACGATGCAAGTGCTCCGATATCAACAGTTTGCAAATAAATGTAACCCATGTAACGCAACACTTATCGAGGGGTAGAGTAGCGTTAGAGTAGCGTAGTGTAGCGTAGTGTAGCTTGTCAAGCTGTATTCCATGAGCACATACAATGCAACAACACAATAACCGTCCTCGATTATGTTTGTGTTTCACTAATGATATTCATCAAACTTATCTGTCTATCGTAGTACATACATACATACATACATACGTACGAGGGAGATACTGACTTGTACTCTGTAAAATCATCATCCATCTATCTCTCCTCTCCCTACCTACCTGCGGAGTTGTGTTATTCTCTAAATTCTCTCAACGATCCACCTAGCCAAGACAAAAGCCTTATCGTCGATTTCTCATCGCATCGCTGTGAGTACCGTATTAAACAAGTGGGTCTATCCATATACTCTTACATACACAAGTCACCAACGAAACCGAAGCGCTAAGATCTTCCTTCTCTTATAGTAAGGTTTTTAACGACTACTTACCTCATGCCAGTCAGTACCTATGATATTTATTTATTTGTGGACCCGAGTGAGTGAGGTTAGTTACCCGCGCTGTCTGCCTACGTCTACGTCTACGTCCACGTACGGAGTCTTCATCATTCTTATTACTCAATATCCCTCCATGTCCATCCCGATCCCCATCCCATTGAAATTTTATTTAAAAATGTCCGGAGCCTCCATCTCCATCTCCATCTCTTAGAACCTAGGAGGGAGAGGCGGAGGCGGGGGCGGGAACCCGTTCGTTTGCGTGCTTACCTTACCTTACCTTACTTATATGCCTCCTACATACATACATACATACTGTACATACAACATAAACGGTATTCACCGAGCGAATAATTTCCTTTTGGATTATGCAGGTATGTAAAGAATTTAAGCTGTAAGCCATATGTAATATCTACATGTACATATATGTATATGTATATGTATATGTGTATGTGTATGTATATGTATATGTATGTATATGTACCACCCCAAAATCCACCATAACACAGCAGAAAATTTGCATGTACATACATACATAACCAAACCTACCTACCTACCTATGGTAGATATAAATACCAACCAGGCGCATACGTACTCCGCAAAACAGAAAATTTCAACACCGGGAGGGTCCAGGGAAAAAAAAAATACAATTCTGTAAGAACCGGACTGGGGAGATGGAGATGCATGGGAGAGGAGATGAGGAAGGTCCGATTTTATCTACGGTATATGTTGATATGTACGGAGTACTGGGGAGGGATTGATGATAATATTAATGGATATATATGTATATATGTATGTACCTGGTATGTATGGTTGTATTGTATGTATGGATATAAACATGTGACCTCCATCTCATCTCAGCTGACTTACTCCACCCATCCACCTACCTACCTACATACAACTACCTCACTTAAAATAAGTCTTAGATGGTCACCCAAGAAACGCATGCGCCAGTAGAAATCATAAAATTATAAAATTATAAATCCTCAACTCGGGTTTAAAGATTTCCACCTCTTTCTTCCCCTCTCTTTCCCTTCATATTCATATTAATATCCCACACCCAAATCCATCCTATTCATCATATCCGTGTGTTCCGTTCCGTATCATATCGTATCTCAACCGTGGAATTCAATCCTCGTATATATCGCTTGCTTTATCTATACATCCCTTCTCATGATTACCCCTCTCGTTTCATAATGTCTATTTACCTACTTACCTACTTACATATATACCTACATACCTAGCTACCCCTCCACCAGCCTTTACCTTTCTTATATTTACTAAGCGCTTATAATCATATATACATACAAACTTTCAATACTCCATACATACACATACCACCCCCTCATTTATCTCCCCTTTTTCCCTCATCTCACATCTTCCCCTCTTCTTCAAAATAATACCAAGTCCAAGCCCAAATCTCTTATTTACATCTTACATCTTACTTCTTACTTCTTACACAATGATCTTACTTCGCGGAAGCATCTTATATAGCCGGCCAGTCGTGCCGCATGCGTCTCAGGTTATATCATATCAGATAGATTGATTACTAGATAGATAGATGGGTACGATGGAATTATTGTTCAGATTAATGAATGAGTGTTTATGGTATATGTACGGCGAGGAGAAGGTAACACAACATCAACATCAATATTGTGATATTGTTATGGGTACGGGTAAGGGTGGGAAATGCCGGTGCTGTGGTGTGGTGTGTATATGCTCGGGAGGAAGAAATAATCTAAGGAGTTCGGGTTTGGGGTTCCGGTCATGTTATTCTCTGTGGAGATGGGGGATTGTATGGCTTTTATTTTTGGGGTTTGTCAGGCTTGTCAATGAAGTATTTTTGGAGGATATAAATAAGTGAGTAAA